TATCGGTTAATCATGACACTGAATTTTCGCTAAATCGAAATTATCTTGTTTTCGCCGCTTCTAGTTCAACGGCTTTGAGCAAATTTGCATCAATTTCACCAACGAAAGATTGCAGCAGTTCTTCAATCATCACATGTTCGTGCTTGAGCAAGAAGAATACAAGAAAGAAGGTATTGACTGGGCCTTCATTGATTTTGGCATGGATCTGCTCGCCTGCATTGAGCTCATCGAAAAGGTAATTTCCCTTCAAAATTCATCGATTCAGAGAAACCGAAAAAGTCCACCAATGCCGTGAAGTTAGTTAAGTAACGGTAATTCAAATGGATTACCGTAATTCAAATCGCAAAAAAGAATCAACTTTCAGAGCCTTTCATCGACAGTAAATTAGTATAGTATTTGAATTTCAGAGGGTGTTAGCAAATCCTTGAAATGGATTGTTGATACTTTTCTGCAGCTGCCAATCCCACAGTTGTGTATTAATCTTACCCGTGTGTAATTTATTTTAGCCTCTCGGCATCTTGTCCATCCTGGAGGAAGAGAGTATGTTCCCCAAGGCTACAGACAAGACCTTTGAGGAGAAGTTGAAGAACAACCACTTGGGCAAGTCTCCCAACTTCATCAAGCCGAAGCCGCCGAAGCCGGGTCAGGCTGAAGCTCACTTCGCCATTGTCCATTACGCAGGAACCGTGAGTGACGATATGATTATTGGCAAAATGCTGTCATTATTCAGCTTTCAAAGCAAAGTTTTCTATATGGGTTCCCTTGTTAGATCTTGAAAGAAAGAACAAACTGGGGAGAACAAAAAAAAGAGAGAGAAGTTGAGAACAAGCCCGAATCCAGTGATCGGGAGATAAAACGGGCCATTTTCAAATCGTGTTCGCAGATGATGCGAAAATTGTCCCGGGATGAAATTTTTCATATCGAATTTATCTGTTACGATTGCACGAAAAAACGTTTCGTTGTTTTCATCAGAGATTCCCTCAACTTTATGCATCTGTAAATCCGCATTTCTTTCGCAAAGTCCATAGAACTTAACCAATTAGCAAATGTACGATAGCTGTCTCAGGAGGAGCTGGCCTTTGAAAATATGTATTGCCAAAGATGTTTCGTTATCCACCCTAAAATTATGTCTCCTCATACGTCATCAGGTACCTTACAACATCAGTGGATGGCTGGAAAAGAACAAGGATCCCCTTAACGACACTGTCGTCGATCAGTACAAGAGGGGCACCAACAAATTGCTTTGTGAGATTTTTGCTGATCATCCCGGCCAATCCGGCGCTGCAACATCTGGCGGTGACGCTGGCGGCGGCAAAGGTGTGCAAAAATCAAATTTACTCTGTACATGCATCAACATTTCAGCGAAAAAGAGTTGAAAAATGAGGATTGAAGCGAGAGCCAACTTTTAAAATAATGCTTCTGCAACAGGTGGTCGTGGCAAGAAGGGAGGCAGTTTCGCCACTGTCACATCATCCTACAGGGTAAGAATTCTTTATTTTAGTAAAGTCTATACAGTATTTAAATATTTTACAGTATTTCATTTCGAAAATTTCGCCAAAACATGTTATGAACCGAATGCTTCTCATTATTTTTGAGGGAAAGCATTGCATGAAAATGAACGGTACAGAGAAATTTCGGGCCCATCCTCAAGAAGTAAAAAAAAATAGTTTCCTCGTACTGGCACGGGGCTTTTTAATTTAAGGAATCCTGCTGAGCTTGAAAATAAAGTTTCAATTTTAAAACGCAAAATCTAAACCAAATGCTTCCCCTTCTTTTGGAGAACAGGAGCAGCTGAACAAGTTGATGGCCACTCTTCAAAGCACACAACCTCACTTCATTCGTTGCATCATCCCCAACGAATTCAAGCAGTGCGGTGAGGAAATTTGAAGCACTAAAACAGTTGTTTTACTAAAATTTAAGAAATTTTTTTAATTGTGTAAAATATCCAACTCGATGGTTAACTTCTTGCCCTCAGGTGTGGTTGATTCACATCTCGTCATGCACCAGCTTACTTGTAACGGTGTGCTTGAAGGCATTCGTATTTGCCGCAAAGGGTTTCCCAACAGGATGGTCTACTCTGATTTCAAGCACAGGTGAGTTTCTTTTGAATAAACTTGGAATACGAAAATTACAAATGTTTTTTTCTTTTGTGCCAAAAGATACCTGATCTTGTCTCCAAAGAGGATGAAGGCCGAGACTGATGAGAAGAAAATGGCAATAGCTTGCTTCGAAGACATTCAACTCGACCCTGACCGATACCGTGTCGGACACACTAAGGTAAATGCGTTAATAGATCTAAAAAAAAAACATCCCACACATATTTTGAGACACGAAATTTCTGGATATTTCCCAACAGGTCTTCTTCAGAGCCGGAACCTTGGGTCAACTCGAAGAATATCGTGACGACAAAGTGAACCGAATCATCACCTGGATTCAGGCGTTCATCCGAGGCTACGTTTCGCGTAAGGGCTACAAGAAGCTCCAGGACCAAAGGTAAATTCGCAGGGCAAACAAGAAGAATCCCGCCGAATCTACAATTTTTGCGTAACTTCATATAGAATTGCGTTGCAAGTCGTCCAACGGAACTTGCGCAAATACATGCAACTCAGGACCTGGGCCTGGTGGAGGTTGTGGCAGAAGGTCAAGCCCATGCTCAATGTCTCCCGCGTTGAGGATGAACTCAAGGTAAAAAAAAAAATAATGTAACAAATAAATTGAAAATATTTTTACAAAGATTATGTGACTGAACCCCTAATACATAGAAAAAATCTTCGTGAATTTTTTTTAGTACAGCTTAGTAAAATGCCAGAAATTTATTTTTGCTTTGGTGCCCAAATGCATTTTTGCTCGGGTGCTCAAGATTCTGCTTCAAAATCCTCCAATTCGGAGATTGATTAAAAAAACGTAAAGCAAGACTCAGAGAAGATTTCATTCAATTGCAGTCCTGACTTGTTAAAATTTTTCCAAGCAATTGACACTTCACACGTCGGGCAGTATAACCTCAGCATAAAAAAAAATTATTTTTTGGGTAGAATCCGGAAATTTTTCACTGCGGGGATTGTCAAACTTTTATAAGCAAACTAGCAATTAACAAAAATAAAATATTTGCCTGGAAATGACAAAATCTCACTGCTTAGAATTAAAGAAGAAATTGAGAAAACAAAATTCAAAAAATTATCATTGTTATTATTATTGTTATTTAAAATGATACAGGCAACTTGTATTCAAATCAGATCCACATACAGATGAACTCTTTTATTAAAGGCTCTTGAGGAAAAGGCTGCCAAAGCGCAAGAAGCATTCGAGAAGGAAGAAAAGTTGCGAAAGGAGCTGGAAGTGAAGCTTGCCAAGGTTACGGAAGAAAAGAACAACTTGAACATGCAATTGGAAATGGCCCAAGGATCCGGAGTAGATTTCCAGGACAAGATCAACAAACTTCTGGCACAAAAGGCTGATCTCGAGGCTCAGTTGACTGTAAGTTTCATCAAAATTGATTCACTTCTCGGCAAAAGAAATAATCCGAGTGCATATAAATTGACTTTCTAGGACACTCAAGAGAGGTTGCAAAACGAGGAAGACGCTCGCAACAACTTGTTCCAGGGCAAGAAGAAGGTGGAGCAAGAAATTTCCGCCCTCAAGAAAGACATCGAGGATCTCGAGCTCACTGTTCAGAAGGTGAGACATTCAATAAACCACGATCATACGCAAATTCCGAACAAAACCTTTCAATCACATTTTTTTCATCCACAGGCTGAACAAGACAAGGCCACCAAGGACCATCAGATCCGCAACTTGAATGATGAAATCGCTCATCAAGACGAGCTGATCAACAAAATCAACAAGGAGAAGAAGCACTTGCAGGAAATCAATCAAAAGAGCGCCGAGGACCTCCAGGTATGAAGTGTGCATTCAATTAAAAATAAAATACACTCAGCCAACTCACATTTCGAATCATCCAGGGTCAAGAAGACAAAGTGAACCACCTGAACAAGGTGAAAGCCAAGCTTGAGCAGACCCTGGATGAACTGGAAGACTCCTTGGAACGCGAGAAGAAGCTAAGAGCTGATGTTGAAAAAACAAAGAGGAAGGTTGAAGGTGATCTCAAATTGACCCAAGAAGCTGTTGCTGACTTGGAGCGAAACAAGAAGGAACTCGAGCAAACAATCCAGCGAAAAGACAAGGAAATCTCTTCTCTCACTGCCAAACTGGAAGATGAGCAATCCCTGGTTGCCAAGCTCCAAAAGCAAATCAAGGAACTCCAGGTTCGAATCCATTCTCAAATATAAAATTGCCCATTGAATTAACAATAAGAATCCAATTATTATAGTCCAGAATCGAGGAACTGCAAGAGGAACTTGATGCCGAACGCCAAGCCCGAGCCAAGGCTGAGAAACAACGCGCGGATCTTGCTCGTGAATTGGAAGAACTCGGCGAACGTTTGGAGGAAGCCGGAGGTGAGAAAAAAATAATACAGTATTTCCATTCTAATTATGCATTAAATGAATGCTTGAAAATTATCTATAGGTGCCACTGCTGCTCAAATCGAGCTGAACAAGAAGCGAGAGGCCGAGCTTGCGAAACTCAGGCGCGATCTCGAAGAGAGCAACATTCAACACGAATCCGCACTCGCAAACATTCGCAAAAAGCACAATGACGCCATTGCTGAGATGGGAGACCAGATTGACCAACTCAACAAGATGAAGGCCAAGTAATTACTTCACTTATGACTTATCCAATATTTTCTTAAATTGTTTACTCACTTACAAAAATATAAATGTTACATAGGGCTGAGAAGGATCGCGAGTCTGCCAGCCAACAATGCAACGAGATGCGAGCAGCCACCGACCGCCTCACCTCAGAGAAGGTCACATAGGACATATTTGCATTTAACTTTTCAGTAATTCTTCTAACCCAAGCATATTTCACATCCCAACAAACAGGCTGCTCAAGAGAAGATGAACAAGCAACTCGCCCAACAAATCAATGATCTCCAGCTCCGAATGGACGAGACCAATCGCACCGTCAACGACTTGGACGCTGCCAAAAAGAAGTTGGGAGTTGAAAACGGCGACTTGCTTCGTCAACTCGAAGATGCCGAGTCTCAGATCGGCCAGCTGAACAAACTCAAGATCTCACTTGCAACTCAGTTGGAGGATACCAAGCGAATGGCCGACGAAGAAGCCAGGGTAAGTTCACTAAAGAATCATAACTCAAGATTCAATAACGAATGCAACGATTTTTTGATTCAGGAGCGAGCTACTCTTCTTGGCAAATTCAGAAATGTTGAGCACGACTTGGACACAATGCGGGAACAAATCGAAGAAGAAGCTGAAGCAAAGGCTGACTTCCAGAGACAGTTGAGCAAAGCAAATGCTGAGGCTCAACTGTGGCGTGCAAAATATGAAAGCGAAGGTGTTGCACGAGCAGAGGAACTTGAAGAGGCCAAGTGAGTGACACATACATCTATCAATTTAAAAAATGTGCTGGATCGCCATTCTTTCAAATGGACGTCACGGATTCAGTTATTATCAGTCAGAAATTTATTGTAAACAAAATAGAGGTAAAACTTTGGAACGAAATTATGTGATGGGCATAAATTGCGAATCCACACAACCAGCACCAGCCTCCAACAAAGTAGATATTTGTATTTCACTCAAATTTTTGCAGGCGAAAGTTGCAAGCCCGCTTATCTGAAGCCGAAGAGACCATTGAGCAACTGAATGCCAAATGCGTTGTTCTCGAGAAACTCAAGCAAAAACTCAGCACGGAAATCGAAGATATGCAGATCCAGGTCGAACATGCCCAGTCTCTATCCAACTCCATGGAGAAGAAGCAGAGGAACTTTGACAAGATCATTGGGGAATGGAAACTCAAAGTGGATGACTTGTCTGCTGAACTCGATGCCTCGCAGAAGGAATGCAGGAATTATTCCACCGAGCTTTTCCGTCTGAAGGCCATCTACGAAGAAGGACAAGAGCACCTCGAGGCTGTGAAGCGCGAGAACAAGAACCTTGGAGGTACCGTATTTACCATATTCACCTGAATAAAAAATATGCCGTCTTAGATTTAGTAAGGCTTTAATATTTGATGGCAGCTCGATCAGGGCAATTGGTTTTTTTTTTCAACTAAAGCAAACTTCTCAATTGAAATAATGAACCAAATGCAGCTATTAAACACGGTCTCACTGCCATCGTATATGGTCACTCATGAAATAAACGAAAAATATCACAGCAGATTTGATAGTTGACACGTTTGCTTTTAAATTATTACAGAAAGTCAAGTTATTATTGACTCAGGAGTGGCTTCAAAAATGCTTTCAAAAATAAACTTATTCTACTCTGACTTTGATGAGAAAGAGCCTCAGCACTAGATTCGCAAGTTCAGAACATAACACGCTGGTGCCCAACGTTCCGGAAAATGAACAATGAATGAATGATTCCTGGGGTACAGATCACATTTCTATCTGAATTAAATTCCCCATAAAAAAAAAAAATTTCCAGATGAAATCAAGGACCTGTTGGACCAGATGAGCGACAGCGGCAGGAATGTGCACGAAATTGACAAAGCTCGCAAGCGACTTGAAATTGAGAAAGAAGAACTTCAAGCTGCTCTTGAAGAAGCAGAAGCAGCTCTGGAACAAGAAGAAAACAAGGTGCTCCGAGCTCAACTCGAATTGTCTCAAGTCCGACAGGAAATTGACCGTCGCATTCAGGAGAAGGAAGAAGAGTTCGAAAACACCCGCAAGAACCATCAACGAGCTCTTGACTCAATGCAAGCCAGTCTTGAAGCTGAAGCCAAGGGCAAGGCTGAAGCGCTCCGCATGAAGAAGAAGCTCGAACAAGACATCAACGAGCTGGAGATTGCAGTTGACCACGCAAACAAGGCCAACGCCGAGGCTCAGAAGAACATCAAGAGATACCAACAGCAGCTGAAGGAAATGCAAGCAACCATGGAAGAAGAACAACGGTCCCGCGATGACCTCAGAGAGCAATATGGCATTGCTGAACGACGAGCAAATGCTCTTCACGGCGAACTGGAAGAGTCTCGCACTCTCCTTGAACAAGCCGACCGAGGCCGAAGACAAGCAGAAACCGAACTTGCTGACTGCCACGAACATCTCAATGAACTCACTGCTCAGCACGGATCCATCTCAATGGCCAAGAGGAAGCTGGAAGGCGAACTCCAAGCCCTGCACTCAGACTTGGACGAAATGCTCAACGAGGCCAAGAACAGCGAAGAGAAGGCCAAGAAAGCCATGGTTGATGCTGCTCGTCTCGCTGACGAACTGCGCGCAGAACAAGAACACGCATCACAACAAGAGAAGTTCCGCAAGGGACTCGAACAGACCTGCAAAGAACTGCAACTCCGCGTTGAAGAAGCCGAAGCCGCAGCACAAAAGGGCGGTCGTAAACAAATCACCAAGCTCGAGGAACGCGTCCGCGGACTTGAATCAGAACTCGACGGTGAGCAACGCCGCCATGCAGAAGCACAGAAGAACCTGCGCAAGTCCGAGCGCCGCATCAAGGAGCTCGCCTTCCAGTCTGAAGAAGACCGCAAGAACCACGAACGCATGCAAGACCTCGTTGACAAACTGCAACAGAAGAACAAGACCTACAAGCGCCAGATTGAGGAAGCAGAGGAAATTGCTGCTCTGAACTTGGCCAAGTTCCGCAAGGCACAACAGGAACTCGAGGAGTCTGAGGAGCGAGCAGATCTGGCTGAACAAGCGTTCGCCAAGCTGAGGGCTCGTGGACGCGGTGGATCCGCTGCTCGCGTCACTCCGCCCCCGGTAATTCCTCCATGTCCCATCAAACTCACCAATCAGCATGCCTAAAAGCAAAACTAATTAAATTTATCTTCTCCGATTCACACTAATATACTATTTTTTCCACCGGATTCCTCAGGCCAAGGGAGCCCGCAAACGAATGGAAGAGTAAGCATATTCTGGTCACGTCCGCCACTTGCTGTTCCGAAGTCCCTTTTCCGCCTCCTTGTGAGTATACTTTCTTCGACCGTGAGTTAAAATTCAAATAACTTACTGATGTTACATAATTGTTTACTGATAATAACCATAACTTCTTTGAACGTGCTTCGATAATGCTTGTCTGAATCAAATCTTATGTTTTTATTTTGTTTTTGTTTTTACAACGTGAAACGTTTGACGCACAATTAACCTGTTTATGCGTCAGTTTTTTGCTCTTCTGATTTTTTCAAGTGTATTCTTCGAAACTCACCCATGTCCTACTAACCGTGTTTCTGGAAACTAACATCTAAAAGACTTCGTTCAAGTAAAATCTTGGGCTGGAGTCGCAAAAACTTCAATTTTGTTCCTTGGGTCAAGTTGAATCTCTGTCCCTTCGCACCCCCCTTTTAAAAATGAAGAAACTTCCTATAGCAGAGTAAATTGAAGAAAAAAATACGAATCCCGACCTCCAAACATCCAACACTCTCCCAGATACGTTCCCCTGAATGATTTATACATTTTCCTAGAGTTCTAATTGTATTTTTGATGCCCGAATTCATGGTTGTCGATGCAGAGGGGTTCTGCTGTTCGTATCCCTCGTCCAGCTGCACTGCTTATAGGCTTCTTCCTGCCAAATACTTTTGAGGAGAAGATTTCGATTTGGGATCGAAAGTGAAGCAAGCGCCGAAATAATTCCCTCGAGTTTATACTCTTTTCCGCTCTTTTTGTTCCCCCAAGAAAAAAAAAAGAAAAAGGAAAAAATCTTAACCCTATGTTCCCTTGGTTTCTCCCCGTCTTTGTGTAACGCACCGAGAATAAATGATGAGGTGCTTCGAAGAAGAAAAAATTTGACATGAACCCCCCAGCACAATCCCTATTTATTTATTTTCTCTCTCCGAATTCGAGTTGCAAATAAAAATGGATTGTATTGACCTCCATCGTCCCCGAACTTTGTAAACAAAATTTCGAGGAGCCGAGTCCTTTTCGACAGGATCTTTGATCGCTTCTCAACTCTTGCCACTTATCGCTGTCTATTTTTTCACTAGCCTTACGTCTACTGAATCACAATCTGTGTAGTTGCTGTGTGGTGTGTTGACAACTTCTTTGCGAAAGGGAAAAACTTCGCTCATGTCCGTGTTGCTTGTCTGTGTGCGTCTTTTTTTCATTTTTCAACTATCGTCGTTTGTTGGAAAATTCAACTCATCAGGTATGAGTTGGTACAGCGTATTGCTGTGTTCTTTCCGCCTCGTTTGGCGGAAAATGACTTTTTTTGTGTAAACAAATTGCTGTGACATGTCGAGCTTTTTGTTACAGCCTTACACTGTAGTAACACATTTGCATGCTCGGTCGTAATCGAAATAAGTTACAAATGTTCAGCATCTGCCACAGGTGAAGCAGAGCGGAAAAAAAAACTCCGACAGGTCAGTTGGTTTCTACATTCGTTTCTATATATGTGTTGATTTTGTGCTGTACATGATTTCACACCAACTCACAAGTTACTGTCTGTATAATTCGACACAGTGTTCGTCGATTTGCGTCTGTCATTCCAACATCGACTAATAATTCGTCGTCATTTTTTGTAAAAAAAATTTCTGCGGTTTTTAACAAGACTTCGAATTGGTTTTTTTTGGAAGTCACCGCTTATATTGGACAACTAACTGTTGAAACTCGGCGTTTTACATCTGCGTTTTTTTTTTTTTACTTGGGTGCTGATGAACATCGGTTTCGATTTATTTTTCCAAGTAGACACTAAATTAACGAATTTATGCAGACTGATTTTACTATTCTTCCAATGATATTCACAGCACACTTCGTCATCTCCACTCACATTCTTCTAACAGTTTGCGTGTATTTTTGTCGCAAAATTCTCACGATTCACACAGTCAATGGTTCGGTTTCACGACTTACATTTCTGACCAATTTTCGACGCAAAAAGCATGTTATCGTGTCAAGAAAAATTCGATTAACACGCCAACTTCAATTATTAAACTATTTTAGATTTTAAAATATCATTTTAGCTATCGAAGGAAAAATGAGCGCAGCTAGAGTTTTACCATGGAAATGGGGAAATGTTTCGAGAAGCTTACTTCCAGTATTTTCAGTGTGAATTATATACAATACTGTATTTGATGAGGATGAAATGCTGTATGCATAATTTTTCCAAAATATTCCAAGGCTTTGTTCTGCGGTTGGTGACTTGACTAAAATTGTCGGCTTATGCGAAATGTTTGATAACTTTTAACTGGGGAAATCAGGATCAGATTATGGAATTACAGTATTTCGCGAATAACGTCAGATCATCATCGCAAACTTCAGCTTGCTAATAATGTTTCATCACCGAAAATCCGTTAACAATTTATCTCATCCCGAAAACGCGTGGCAATATTGATTTTTGTAATCGGCCAGTATGCCAGAAAAATGGTCATCATATTCGTCAAACATTTAATATACATTCACCCTGCATACCTTACAATAAATTTGTTATTTTTTATAAATACGTCCGGAGTTTCCTTTTTGATTCAATCTTTCGATGTAAATTGTTGGCGGTTTTTAATTGATCTGATACTCGATCTTATGCATGAGATTTATAATTTTCTCTTGACTCTTGAGTTAGAGATCTGCTGTTGGTGTCATTACATTGACGGATCACGGAATTTATTTCCTTTTATCGTACATTTACATTTTCGTATATTACGTTGAATTTTTTCAAAGTCAAACTTGAATGCCATAAAGCTAGACGTTGGAACGGAGTTTCAAACATTAACACTTGGGGAAACTCGTCGACATATCTTCACATATCCCACTTACATTCTTGTCGTGTTCATCGCAATAACACACTTCCTCATCAATCTTCAAATCAGACAAAATTTGTTGTACAATAGTCCTTCATCCTTCGTTTACAATGCTGTCAACTCAAGAGATTATCGTTATTATACTAACAAATGATAGTCGTTGTATAGGTTGGTTTTAATACTCTGCGTCATTTTATTTTTTTTGCGGTTCCGATCATCAGTTCATCGCCAAGAAATGACAGTTCGACGAACTCCATCAAGTACGAGAAGCTTGTAACGAAATAACCTGCTGATTTTATTTTTAACTGCCAGCCTAACTTACTTCCATGTGTGTTCGACATTTTTTTATACACTCCTGTGTCGGTAACACCTTCGTTTTGAAATCTAGTCGGATTAGGAATCGCGAAGAGATTATTTGAAATTCTCCACTCACTCTTCTGACTAATTTTTAACGCATAACATGTTAACGTGTCAAGGAAAGATGCAATTAATACTGCAACCGTAATTATAAAAAATATGAAGGATTTTTTGAACATACTTTTGAGTATTGAAAAATAGAAGCACATGTCGTGTGTCACTCTCGAACCATCCGATTGAAAAATGCGAAGGTCTAAATTTAAAATTTTAACGAGCGACATCTATCATGTAAATTTTAAAGATGTTTGAAGACGTACGAATAGCATTGCTGCGGTGACACTACGTTCATGTTCAAAAAAGTCTTCGATGATGCTCAGATCAGATTTCAACTTTTAAGCATGCGACATCTATGAAATACGGTAAAACCATTTTGAAGACGTTCAAATAGCGATGCTGCGGTGAAACTACTGTACCTTCATTTCCGAGAAATTTTCAATATTGAAGATGAATCACGGTATACGAGCTTCGAAACTTCCTGGCATGACTCAAGTGAGAGTCTTGTTGGAAACCATTTAAATTTCAATTGACTGTTGCATATGTGCAGTACATCATATCATATCGCAAGATTATTCATTAAACCAACGGTACAGGTATCTTCGGCGCATTTTGAACGCGTGAAGTCCTCAACTCTATAGTGAAAGTCTCGCAAAGGCATGTGGTAACGAGGAGGTGGTACTCGAACACCACATCTTGAATTATAGGCACAATGATACAGAAAACAAATGGTGAAAAACCCTGCGACAGAAGAAGATTTTGCAAAAGCAGCAGCAAGTTTGATTGGGTAAATCGATGCAATTGTTTCTGGTACTCATAAGCATTATTAAAAAAATGTACACATACTGTGTACAGTACAGTAAATTCCAAAATGTCCTCTGATATCATCATGAAGTCACCAGTTGCCATCCAAAGCCAATTGAAGTCGATTTATTTAAACAAATTCTTCCTTCCAACGGTTTCACGCCAATTTCCAAGGAGAAAAAAACCAGACTTTCGTCGAGAACTTGCAATACTAAATATTTGAGTGCTTCCAGATGCAAAACTAAATGCGAAGGATTGTTAATGCTCCTTTTGAGGCCAAACCAATCGCTGGGCTCTCTTTCTGGTTCAAATTGTGTAAATAAACCATGCAAATCGTAAATAAAAGTAAACCGCGTATATTGTAGATCAAAATTTCATCCGAAATGAGTTTCACAAGCTCCACTACTGGACTTTTATTCTCTTTAGAAGAAGATATGGATTTAAACCCGTGTGATGTTTTACCCCTTTTGTCATTTTGAATTTTTAAAATGCATATAAATAATACGCGGAATTTGTAAAATTTTCATTAAGATTAAGCAAGAGTTTTACATTTACTACCATCTGTTCTTGGGCATTTCATACGATGCTTTTCCCGCTTTGAAGCATAAGTTCCTTTTAAACTCTATTGAATGCTATCTCGCTTATTCAATTATTTTGATAAGTTGAACTCTTCATAATTTAAAAATCTGCAACGATTTTTTCTTGATTATTTCTGAAACAAAACCTCGGACTCGAAAGAAAGAATGCGTTACAGTTATTGTACAGGTTTTTCACGCAAGGAGTTGATCGAAAAGATTTTCATATTTAATTCTTCATCGATTTACATTTAACGATGAAAACACAGAATCAATGCAGTAAATTCAAAAATTGTCTCGTCTTTTTCTTTGTGTGAACAAGTTGACAGTAGGGGGAAATATCCAGAGTTTTTGCAGTCGTGTTGTTGCAATTCAAACGAAAACGAAGTGATGGAATTAGTGTCAAAGTGTGAAAATTTATCCTTCGCGAATCTCCGACTGCGTGAGAATTTCTTGAATTGATCCAAATCCGATCGCGCAAATCAGAAAAACAAAATACTAATCCAAACCTGTTTTCTTCGCCAATTTCCAGACAATCTCGCGCTCGACTCCTTTTTTTTTCCCTCGTCCTCGCCGAACTTGAGGAATCGTCCCAAGACGAATATAATCCGATTCCGCGTTTTTCTCTCCCTTCTTCATCCACTCCCGTGAAACGAGTACGTTTTGTGTAACGGGGATTTAAACAAAACGAAAAGAGTTTCTTGACTGCTTTTCTAACCGCGGGATCGCGAGAGATCGAGTCGCAAAAACAACAACAACAACATGCCCGGCCACGTGGTGAAGTCGGACGGTCCGGACCCGGACCCGACTGAGTTCCTGTTTGTGTCCCTGGAGCAAAAGCGCAAGGATCAAACCAAGCCCTACGATGGCAAGAAGGCCTGTTGGGTTCCTGACGAGAAGGAAGGGTTCTTGCTGGGTGAACTCAAGTCCACCAAGGGCGACGCTTGCGTGGTTGGACTCGACCACGGCGAGGTGAGATACATTTCGAAATTAGCAACGATTGATGATTGACTGCTACGAATCGAATGGAAATCTTGACGTGATTCTACTTCGAATGCCTCGCGGAAGGTTCGAGGGCTTTTATAGATAATTTTAGTACAGTATATTGTATTTAATACTCCACTTTCCATCAACAAGAAAGAAGCGAAAAGTTGGACAGCAGTGGACGAATTTCTTCTTGATGGGTACAGTACAATACCAATTTTTCTGAACACCCAGCACAAATTATCATCGCTGTTTTATTGCAAACCAACCTTTTGATCATATCAGTAATGGTTTATCAAAACTGTTACTCCGTTCAACCCAGAAGGACACGAATAGCACATCATTTCGCAAATTTGCTCTCTGTGCAGGGTTGATTTCGTGAGAAAATTTTAAAAAGTCCATACGCGCCAATTTTCTTACTTCCTTCAGTGTTCAGCATTCGCAAGAAAATGATCAATTTTTTATAGATTTCTCAGGGAGAAAGCCTTGAATCCGAAGGTTTTAACAAAGCTTATTTGAACCTATCTATAAATAATGATATTACTGTATTGTGTCAGAGGTTTTCCATGAGATATAAACCGAAAGGAGTGAATTTTTTTTTTACAGGAAATTTACTTCAAGTTGTTTTGAAAAACCCATGAAAATGTTTAAAAGCCTCGAGAAAACTATCTGAAAAAGTAAAGAATCATAGTAAAAAAAAAAGAAAAACTGCAGCATGCGATTTTAAACGATCTTCGGAATGATTTTCTTGCACGAAAAAAATGTGCGAAAATAGGCACGTTTCGCGATGATTTTTAAAAAGTTTAAATCAATGTTAATGCTTTTTTTGCATTAATTTGCAGGAGAGGACGTACAAGAAGGAACAACTGCAACAAGTGAATCCGCCGAAGTACGAAAAAGCCGAGGACATGTCTAACTTGACTTACTTGAACGATGCGTCTGTTCTGTACAACTTGAAAGCTCGTTACCAACACAAGCTGATCTACGTGAGTATTTCGAAAAAAGTCACCAGAAAGATATAAAGTACAAATTTGATCATCATTTTATCATGGTTTTTTTTATTCTGTCTATAATTGAAGTACACTGAATTTTTTATCGCATGCTATAGACTTACTCCGGACTTTTCTGTGTGGCCATCAATCCGTACAAACGTTATCCGATCTACACGAACCGTGTGGTTGCCATTTACCGTGGCAAAAGGCGAAATGAAGTCCCACCTCACATTTTCGCCATTTCTGATGGGGCTTACGTCGACATGGAAACCAGTGAGTTCTGGGTGAAAAAGCGCAAATTCTTATTACCTTTATTGACACGAGATCGTTTTCGCTTCTTTCCCCCGCAGATCACGAGAATCAATCCATGTTGATTACGTGAGTTTCAATGAGAAATTCTTTTCCGATTTGTTAATTTAATATTGATTCAAATGTTAAATTTATGTTCCCAGCGGAGAATCTGGTGCCGGAAAGACTGAGAACACGAAAAAGGTCATTGCGTACTTCGCAAACGTCGGTGCTTCGACCAAGAAGAAGCCCGAAGGCAACAAGGCAAGTCATGTTTCGATTTAACCAAGTTTTGTGCGTATCATGCATCATGCATGAAATTGAAGATTTATTTTTCTGGAATGATATCAATTGGCCAAATTTGTCTGCAGGGTAATTTGGAAGATCAAGTCGTGCAAACCAATCCGGTCCTTGAAGCTTTCGGAAACGCCAAGACTGTGCGTAACGACAACTCATCGCGATTTGTAAGTGCTGATTCTTCAATAAAATTTTGGATGTTTTCGTGCAAAAAGAATGATACATTTGCTAATTTTGGTTTGACGTATGGTTCCCAGGGTAAATTCATCCGTATCCACTTCGGGCCTTCCGGAAAATTGGCTGGTGCTGACATTGAAACTTGTAAGCATATCCTTGAGATGTTTAAAATCCATTTTTTCTGCAAAGGATATCTAATTTTTTTTCTATTTTCTTATTAGACCTGCTTGAGAAAGCTCGTGTGATTTCTCAGCAGTCCCTGGAGAGATCCTACCACATCTTCTACCAGATGATGTCTGGACAGTTGCCCAATTTGAAGAGTGGGTTGAAATTTGTGCCAAATTGCTTTTCCTGTCTCATCTGATCATGAAATTTTATTTCCACCACTTTTCAGAGCAACTCAGGCTGGTTGATGATATCTATTACTACCACTACATCTCTCAAGGAAAGACGACTATCCCGAATGTCGACGATGCTGAGGAAATGGGCTTTACGGATGTGAGTATCCACAAACATTCAGTGTAGTCCCGACATGCGGACGATTCGACTTACGGGCGTTTCAGAACAACAACAAAAATTGTCCAGACTTGCGTAAATTGTCTCGCGATATGAACGCTTCACAATTATTTTAGACAAATTTTAATTTTAAATTTTAAATATTTTTTATATGCAGTGTATCTTGAAAGAGATGAATCATTTCTACAGAGAATAATTCGAAACACATCTTGTTACAAATTTATTTTAATTCGTAATTAAAATCTATCTAATGTTTGGATCTGTTTTAGGGGTTTTTCTTTACAAACTGTGTAGAACAAAGGAATATCTTTGGTTGGTTTTTGGTTTTTTGACTAATATTCAAGAAAAAAGGGAAAATTTTGTGCTTCGTTCTTCGTTACTGTCATTTTCTGTATATCTTACAAGTTAAAAGCGATATTTTACCAAATTGTTTGGAATTTTTCCAAATTTTTGATAAACAGGAGAACCAATTGAATATGTTTCCTCTGAAATGTACAATATAGGAAAATATCCACCGACTTAGGGACAAGGTTCGTGAACCAATTCCATCCGTATCTCGGGGCTGCGCCGCAATTTTTCCGGCGATAATTTGACTTGCGGAAATTAATCGTTCTTGAATGCATTCTGTTTTTGTTTTCGTAGGAAGCTTTCAACGTGCTGGGCTTTTCTCAGGAAGAGAAGGACAACATTTACCAGATTGTTGGTGCTGTCATGCACATGGGAGAAATGAAGTTCAAACAACGTGGTCGCGAAGAACAGGCTGAAGCCGATGGCACAGAGGTTATTATAGGGAACTATCCGAACTAATAATAGTGAAACCACTTTCACTTAACCTTATTAAATATATATGTGGTGTTTTTAATTTTGTTAGGATGGACAAAACGTCGCCGCTTTGTTGGGAATTGACGGCGATGAATTGTACAAGAACATCCTGAAGCCCAGAATCAAGGTCGGCAACGAGTTCGTCACTCAGGGTCGTAACAAGGACCAGGTAAAGTGGATATTCTGACACCATTTAATTCATGAAATTTAAATTCATTCAATCGCTGATTTTCTTTGCACAGTGCTCCTATTCGGTCGGTGCCATGGCAAAGGCCATGTTTGATCGTCTGTTCAAATTTTTGGTCGTCAAATGTAACGTCACTTTGAACACCGGACAAAAGCGAGACCATTTCATCGGAGTATTGGATATCGCCGGCTTTGAGATCTTCGACGTAAGTTGCCTTTTCGGTGGGAAATTTGAAATTATTTGACAAATGGTTCAGCAGCAGAGGTGTGGTATTCGAAATATTTCGGTTGCTGATGCTCTCGAAATTGATCGGGGCATCTTTGTTTTTCCTGACATTTCTGGAGAGTGTCTGAAAAGGGGGTTTCGAAACTGTGCAGACTTTAATGTTTGAACGAAAATGCCGATTCTTATCACGCGCAGTACAACGGATTTGAGCAAATCTGCATCAACTTTACCAACGAGAAGCTTCAGCAATTTTTCAACCATCACATGTTTGTTCTCGAGCAAGAAGAGTATAAAAGAGAGGGCATTGATTGGGCCTTCATTGACTTCGGGATGGATTTGCTAGCTTGCATCGAGCTGATTGAAAAGGTAATTCAAGTTATTTCAGGCAAAGAAAAACCCGCCCGCCTGGTGCCTGAGAAAGTTGATTCCCTTGGAACTGGATTATATACACGACCCTGGGTTGCCATCACACAGATCGAATTGCACGATCACACGGATATCGAAGCCTCGCACAACGAACCCAGTTTTTGCACAGCGAATGGAACCCCTTACCCCCCCCCCTGATATTTGCAAGAATCATGGTTTCTACCCCATTTCTTCGTCTGCATCCGATCACACATTTACAACGCAGTTTTATCATCCACAAAGGGTTTGCTCAGGAATTTTGTCAGCCTTTGAATACCTTGGGCTCTTCTGGATACACTCGATTCTCAAAGATGAACTATATATTTAATAATTTTCTCCCGAATCTTACAATTTTATAGTATGAGTTAATATACTTCGTAGCTGAAACGATTTTTTTCATCTACTCGAAGACAGCATCTGGAAAATTACGATCGTGTTTGAGAACATTTTCCGAACCTTTTAATTTTCGCTCCATATAGTGAAGCTGAGTGAGTAAAATGTCAAATATTGAGGAGTAAGTGAAGAATATGCAAAAAATTCTCAAAAATGAACAAAAACTATCTGGAACTGGATTTTCCAAGCTATTGTTGAAATTTGTGAACGATTCCTCGTTTTGAGGAATTTACATTCAGGCATTTATTCCCTGGAATGTTCCGTGGAGAGATTTTACGTTCATGACAGAATTCTGCACAACAAATAATTCAGCATAAAAAGGGGCTAATTGTTTCGAACGTCTGTTATCTCGTGATGTTTATATAGTTCAATGGCTTCGAGCAAATTTGTATCAACTTCACAAACGAAAAACTGCAGCAATTCTTCAACCATCACATGTTTGTTCTTGAGCAAGAAGAGTATAAGAGGGAAGGCATCGAATGGTCCTTCATTGACTTCGGCATGGATTTGCTAGCTTGCATTGAGCTCATTGAGAAGGTGAATTTCTTGTAAAAAAAAAATAAGTGTTCTTTCATGAAATCAATGTGACGAAAATTAATGCTTCTGTTTGCTGGTCAAAAACGCTTTTATCCAACTGATTAAAACTTGTGTCATCGTCAAAATGTTAATAACTCAATTAAAAAAGAAAGAAACGCGTCTGTGTCATATTTCTAGAACTCGCATTAGTTCAAGTGTGCGTCGTTTTTTTTTTTTGACAAAGAAAAAGCTGTTACATCTAATCACTCAGTTTTCGATCTGACTTTTTCAGAACAGAAACGTTTTTCAAGCATTGCTTTCCGTGTTAATTAATTTTAGAATTCAATGTGACTTAATTAACTCGTGTTTTTAACGTCAAGGTGATTCTAAGCCACAGGAAGAAAGACGAAATCGTGCCTCACAATAAGTAACACACATTTTTACCTGACCTTTTGCACGTGAGCAGAGAACATTTTTTTACCCTGCTTGCATTATGTGATCATTTGCATGGTTTTGCATGTGCATGCGGTATTTCCTGTCCTGGCGATTTCCGTGGAATTCATTTTCGTTAAAGCATCGGAATGGTGAACACATTTTAATGCTAGTATTTTTTGTTTGTTCCTGAATTGGCAACGTGAAGCCTCTTGGCATCTTGTCCATCCTGGAGGAAGAGAGTATGTTCCCCAAGGCTACGGACAAGACCTTTGAGGAGAAGTTGAAGAACAACCACTTGGGCAAGTCTCCCAACTTCATCAAGCCGAAGCCGCCGAAGCCGGGTCAGGCTGAAGCTCACTTCGCCATCGTCCATTACGCAGGAACCGTGAGTGACGATATGATTATTGGCAAAATGCTGCCGTTATTCAGCTTTCAAAGCAAAGTTTTCTATATGGGTTCCCTTGTTTGATCTTGAAAGAAAGAACAAACTGGGGAGAACAAAAAAAGAGAGAGAAGTTGAGAACAAAAAAAGCCCGAATCCAGTGATCGGGAGTTAAACGGGCCATTTTCAAATCGTGTTCGCAGATGATGCGAAAATTGTCCCGGGATGAAATTTTCATATCGAATTTATCTGTTATCATTGCACGAAAAAACGTTTCGTTGTTTTCATCAGAGATTCGCTCAACTTTATGCATCCGTAAATTCGCTTTTCTCATTCAATAATCAGCAAATGTACGATTGCTCCCCGCGAGAAGGATTCGAGTCCGGGTTTTGGCATCTCAAAATACAAATACTTTGCCCAACGCAGGTGCCTTACAACTTGTCTGGCTGGTTGGAAAAGAACAAGGATCCCCTCAACGACACTGTTGTTGACCAGTTCAAAAAGGGCAGCAACAAATTGATTGTTGAAATTTTTGCTGATCATCCGGGTCAATCCGGAGGCGCCAGCACCGCCGATGCTGGTGGCAAAGGTTCGTTATACTTACGTTTATAATTTCAGTGAGAATCTGTGTGATACTCATTTGCTGATTAAAGTTTCTAAAATATCTGCTTGAAATATATATATTTTTGTACATCCTGCAGGTGGACGTGGTAAGAAGGGTGGCAGCTTCGCAACTGTCACTTCATCTTACAGAGTAAGCCAACCTTGTCAAACCTCTTTATTCCCACCTTTTTCACGCGGAAATTCGAAATTAACGCTATTGTTTTCAACATTCAATTTCAATTCACTCAGAAGATAGCAACGATTATTTAAATCTTTGACAAATTCGTTTTAGGAACAATTGAACAAGTTGATGGCCACCTTGCAGAGCACACAGCCGCATTTCATTCGTTGCATCATCCCCAACGAATTCAAGCAGAGCGGTGAGTAATATTCTTCCTTTAGAGTAATGAATCATCAAACATTTTGATTCTCATGCGGATGAGGAATTCGTTGAACAAAATAATTTGTTTTTACTAGGTGTGGTCGACTCTCATCTTGTAATGCATCAGCTCACTTGCAACGGTGTACTTGAAGGCATTCGTATTTGCCGCAAAGGATTCCCCAACAGGATGATCTATTCTGATTTCAAGCATCGGTAAGGTTTACCAGAAAAATTTATTTTTCATCATGAGTATACTGTACAGTACATTCAATTTCCTATATCGACGAAGTTTCACTGCATACATGTAATTCCGATGATTTTCTGCGATTTTTAACGTTGGTTATTCTCTCCTCACTTACTGTGGGCAAAAAAAAGCTACCTGATTTTGTCACCAAAGAAAATGAAGGCAGAATCTGCAGAGGACAAAAAGATGGCCATGGCTTGTTTCGAGGAAATCGCCTTGGATACCGATAAATATCGTCTTGGCCATACCAAGGCACGTTCGTTGGTCGCTTTCCTCGCAAAATTTTAGCATGATTTCAACTGCCTAGCGTATTAGAATAGTTGAAAAGCGATTATCCTTTTTTTTGCAGACGAACAAGCATTTTTGTTTCCCTTTTTTATACGGAGTTCGTGCATCGATTTTGTTGCTAGATATATATTTTATCCTACCTTTCGGCCACGAGAACACGCCGGAGTGGAAAAATTGGGTCGCGGAAATAGTATTTCAAGATAATTTTTTTAAACAGAAAAGAAACGTTGGTTTGAAAATTTTAGGAAGTTGAAAATTCTCAGAAAAAAATTCAGCAACGAAACACTTTTATTCAAGAGGCTGAAAATGTAAGATCAGCACAAGGACAGTTTCTTTTAAAATATTTCGAATATTCTTCGTTTGGCAATTTCTCCTGCGACGATTTCTCCACTCCGGCATTTTTTTTTTCTCCTTATGCCACTTCACACTTTGGCACTGGATAAACAGGTTCTTCAGCAAGCGGCAAAAATCAGCGGCGTACTGGAAAACTTATTTTTATACAACCCGGGATTTTTTGTTGTTGTTTTTGTTTTTAGATACTTGATTCTTTCCCCGAAAAATATGAATGCAGCTTCTGATGAGAAGGATGCTTCGAAGCGATGCTTAGAAGACATTCATCTTGACGCAGACAAATACAGACTGGGACACACCAAGGCACGTTAAACGTACTCTTGATTTGTATTTTCTTCGTCCCCAGCCAAGTGACTAATGTTGCACATATGCTGGTGTAAAAAAAAACTCAATGTCTTTGTTTTCAAGAGTATCTGTGGGACGTCCGATGTGTCCGTCACACCCTGGCACACTTGGTACATCGTTTTAAATTGACCCACTGGAGTTTTTTCTGCGACTAAGTGTCTGTGTGTCCGCTTGAAGAAAAAAAAAGACATACACTAGATTTATCTACTGAAATAAGTTGCATCTTCGTGAAATCCGTTGCATGAATGTGTGTTTTCTGATGCATGCGTGGATTAGAATTTTACTGTTCAATTTTTCTGTGAATGGTGCCATAGTTGATTCAAAAGTTTCGGTCAGTCCCTTTCTGATCTTTTTGGCGGAAGTATTTCGATTTATTCCAGAGTAATAATTTTCATTTGAAATAACTTTAAGATAAGAATTGATTAAAAACCTCAGCACTGTGAAACAATGAGATTTAATTGCCAAAATATTCCATAACGAATCTTTTCTATGCATTATCGGCAGAAAAATTTTTTTTCCAGGAACAGCAAAATCTTCAGCTCAAAAAAATCTCGTATTCTACAACCGAGGCACAACGAAAAGAATATTTTGAACCGCATCGATTATGTAGAACATACTTCTAAAATTTTAAATTTCTGGAACATTAATTTTTCCTTGAAAAATAAATTGAGGATTTCGAGTCGGAAACTCGAGTAAGTTTGGACTACCGATATCTTTAATATTTCGTATTTCGTGTGCGTGTCGTCATCCGTATCTTAGGAGTATTTTTTTTCATTTTCATGTCTCAATCTTCAAAGTTGATGTCAAGAATCTAATCTCGATCATGTATTTTCACGCGGGGCAAAAAAAAAACAGGTCTTCTTCAGAGCAGGAACCTTGGGTTACCTTGAGGAACTTCGAGATGACAAGGTCAACAAAATCATCACCTGGCTTCAAGCCTTCATTCGAGGCTACGTTTCTCGCAAATCCTACAGGAAACTGCAGGATCAGCGGTGAGACACTCATTATATCGCGAAAATTCAATAAATGTATGCAATTGACTGATTTGTTTTTGGTACACAGTATTGCCTTGCAAGTTGTGCAGCGCAACTTGCGCAAATACATGCAACTGAGGACTTGGGCCTGGTGGAGGCTGTGGCAGAAGGTCAAGCCCATGCTCAATGTCACCCGCATTGAAGACGAGATGAAGGTTTCTAAAACCTCAATTCTAGCTCTTTCCGACAATCTTCTCAAATTTTGACATATTTTTGATTTAGGCTCTCGAAGACAAGGCGACGAAAGCGCAAGAAGCCTTTGAAAAAGAGGAGAAGCTCAGGAAGGAACTCGAAACAAAGCATGCGAAACTTCTCGAGGAGAAGAACAACTTGCTGATGCAGCTCGAAATGGAAAAAGGTTCAGGAGCCGACTTCCAAGACAAGATGAACAAATTGGTGGCTCAAAAAGCCGACCTCGAAGCTCAACTCAGCGTAAGAATAAAAACACCACTTTCCATAGTTAAAATAAATCCTCAAGACTCCTAATAACGACAAAAATTAAAAAAAAATCACAGGACACCCAAGAACGCCTTCAGAATGAAGAAGACGCTCGAAATGCGCTTTTCCAAGGCAAGAAGAAGGTCGAGCAAGAAATCTCCGCTTTGAAGAAGGACATCGAAGATTTGGAACTCAACGTTCAGAAGGTAATCTCACGAAATTTGTCACACAAGTAATAATCCCGGTCAAATACTTTTTACCCTTTTAATTTTAAAGGCTGAACAAGACAAGGCTACTAAGGATCACCAGATCCGCAACCTGAACGACGAAATCGCTCATCAGGATGAACTCATCAACAAGATCAACAAAGAAAAGAAACACCTTCAAGAAGTTAACCAAAAAACTGCGGAAGACCTACAGGTAAGAAAATGATCTAGCACGCCCAAATAATTCGAGAAATAATGCTCATTTCCTTTATATTCCAAAAAAAGGGCCAAGAAGACAAAGTAAACCACCTGAACAAGGTCAAAGCCAAGCTGGAACAGACGCTGGATGAACTCGAAGACTCTCTGGAAAGGGAGAAGAAATTGCGTGCTGATATCGAAAAGACCAAGAGGAAGGTCGAAGGTGATCTCAAGTTGACCCAAGAAGCTGTTGCTGACCTGGAAAGGAACAAGAAAGAACTCGAACAGACCATTCAACGCAAAGACAAAGAAATCTCTTCCCTGACTGCTAAGCTTGAAGACGAACAATCACTCGTCGCCAAGCTCCAGAAGCAGATTAAGGAATTGCAGGCAAGTGTGATTTGATATATGAATTTTTTTTTTGCAATCATCAAAACTACTTCATTTTGAAATATCGCTCATCATCATTCATACGAATGAACAGACAACAACTCCACGTCAATACAATGGGGAAATACAGATAATGTACAATAAATCATTTTTAAAATTAGAGCAAAGACGGAAACATTTTCAGAACGATATTTTGATTTGAACTCGAACAAATTTAACACATGAAACGCTGAGCTCTGTTTTATTTGCGCAAAATACGCCGACTTTTCCCTATAGTTTCATTTTAAAAGCTCAGGATCTGAAACAAAATCAAATGCTTCGGGCAGTTTCACAAGAGGCTTCCAAAAAATAGAGGTTAACTCGAATAATTTGTTTTTTTTACAGTCTCGCATTGAAGAACTCGAAGAAGAATTGGAATCTGAGCGCCAAGCCCGAGCCAAGGCTGAGAAACAACGCGCTGATCTCGCCCGCGAATTGGAGGAACTCGGAGAACGCCTTGAAGAAGCAGGAGGCAAGTCTTCTTAATACAATGAAAAACCTCATTAGAAAACACCAAAAAATATTATATTGTGCATGCATTTGACACATTTCAGGTGCAACGGCGGCCCAAATTGAGCTGAACAAGAAGCGAGAGGCCGAGCTTGCAAAACTCAGGCGCGATCTCGAAGAGAGCAACATTCAACACGAGTCCACACTGGCGAACTTGCGCAAAAAGCACAATGACGCCATTGCTGAGATGGGAGACCAGATTGACCAACTCAACAAGATGAAGGCCAAGTAATTACTTCACTTATTCAATATTTTCTTACATTGTTTACTCACTCACAAAATATAAATGTTACATAGGGCTGAGAAGGATCGCGAATGTGCCAGCCAACAATGCAACGAGATGCGAGCAGCCACCGACCGCCTCACCTCAGAGAAGGTCATATAGGACATATTTGCATTTAAATTTTCAGTAATTATTCTAACCCAAGCATATTTCACATCCCAACAAACAGGCTGCTCAAGAGAAGATGAACAAGCAACTCGCCCAACAAATCAATGATCTCCAGCTCCGAGTGGACGAGTCCAACCGCACCGTCAACGACTTGGATTCCGCCAAAAAGAAGCTGACTGTTGAAAACAGCGACTTGCTTCGTCAACTCGAAGATGCCGAGTCTCAAATCGGCCAATTGAGCAAACTCAAGATCTCACTCGCTACTCAGTTGGAGGACACCAAGCGAATGGCCGACGAAGAAGCCAGGGTAAGGCTGAAGAATCTTTCGCGTCTAAAATTTGCACTCAACATTTGATAACAACTGCAACCTTTTTTGAATCAGGAACGAGCTACTCTTCTTGGCAAATTCAGAAATGTTGAGCACGACTTGGACACGATGAGGGAACAAATCGACGAAGAAGCCGAGGCAAAGGCTGACTTCCAACGCCAACTCAGCAAGGCAAATGCTGAGGCTCAGATATGGCGAGCAAAATATGAAAATGAAGGTGTTGCGCGAGCAGAAGAACTGGAAGAAGCAAAGTGAGTTCTCACACTTCTCAAAAAAATTGCTTCAATTTATTTCTAGCAGAAAAAAACCAAAATTTCTGATGCATATTGAAAAATATTTCTTATGTGAATTAATAAAGCCTTATCTATGCTCAAATACTGTATGTTACAAATATCATTGAAAGAATGGGGTAAAAGAAGGTAAATTCGAAACCTCTTCATTGTGCTAGAAATAAGAAAAATTGCCGAAGATTTCAACATTTTCGAGGCGAGAACATAGAATACATTTCGTAGAATCGAAGTACACTGTATTCCAAAAACTTGATTGATGACACATGATTTGATCAATGTCTTGGGAATTACAAACATCAACTTTTCGCCCTGGTCTTTGATAAAACAGGAGGAAGCTGCAAGCCCGTTTGTCAGAGGCTGAAGAGACGATTGAGCTGCTCAACTCCAAGTGCGTTGTCCTCGAGAAGCTCAAGCAGAAATTGAGCACCGAAATTGAGGACATGCAGATCCAGGTTGAACAAGCCCAGGCCTTGTCCAATGCCATGGAGAAGAAGCAAAGAAACTTTGACAAGATCATCGGCGAGTGGAAACTCAAAGTTGACGACCTGTCCGCTGAACTCGATGCATCTCAGAAAGAGTGCAGAAATTATTCCACGGAACTATTCCGAATCAAGGCCGTCTACGAAGAAAGCCAAGAGCACCTCGAAGCTGTGAAGCGAGAGAACAAGAACCTTGGAGGTGAGGATGATTTTACTACAATCCATCAGTTGAAATATACAGAGGCAATCGCACCTTTTTTCCCCAGATGAAATCAAGGACCTGATGGATCAAATGACCGACAGTGGAAGGAATGTGCATGAAATTGAGAAGGCCCGCAAGCGACTTGAGGTTGAGAAGGAAGAACTTCAAGCTGCTCTCGAAGAAGCCGAAGCAGCTCTGGAACAAGAAGAAAACAAGGTGCTCCGAGCTCAACTCGAATTGTCTCAAGTCCGACAAGAAATTGACCGTCGCATTCAGGAGAAGGAAGAAGAGTTCGAAAACACCCGCAAGAATCATCAACGAGCTCTTGACTCGATGCAAGCCAGCCTTGAAGCTGAAGCCAAGGGCAAGGCTGAAGCGCTTCGCATGAAGAAGAAGCTTGAACAGGACATCAACGAGCTCGAGATTGCAGTTGACCACGCAAACAAGGCTAATGCTGAGGCTCAGAAGAACATCAAGAAATACCAAGTGCAACTCAAGGAAATGCAGGGAGCTCTCGAGGAAGAACAACGAGCACGTGAGGACATCCGAGAACAATTTGGCATCGCTGACCGACGAGCAAATGCTCTTCACGGAGAACTGGAAGAGTCTCGCACTCTCCTCGAGCAAGCCGACCGAGGCCGAAGACAAGCAGAAACCGAACTCGCTGACTGCCACGAACACCTCAATGAACTCACTGCTCAGCACGGATCCATCTCAATGGCCAAGAGGAAGCTGGAAGGCGAACTCCAAGCCCTGCACTCAGACTTGGACGAGATGCTCAACGAGGCCAAGAACAGCGAAGAGAAGGCCAAGAAAGCCATGGTTGATGCTGCTCGTCTCGCTGACGAACTGCGCGCAGAACAGGAACACGCATCACAGCAAGAGAAGATGCGCAAATTGCTCGAACAGTCAACCAAAGAACTGCAAGTGCGCCTTGAAGAAGCAGAAATTGCTGCTCAAAAGGGCGGTCGCAAACAAATCACCAAGCTCGAGGAACGCGTCCGCGGACTCGAATCAGAACTCGACGGTGAGCAACGCCGCCATGCAGAAGCACAGAAGAACCTGCGCAAGTCCGAGCGCCGCATCAAGGAGCTCGCCTTCCAGGCTGAAGAAGACCGCAAGAACCACGAACGCATGCAAGACCTCGTTGACAAACTGCAACAGAAGAACAAGACCTACAAGCGCCAGATTGAGGAAGCAGAGGAAATCGCTGCTCTCAACTTGGCCAAGTTCCGCAAGGCGCAACAGGAACTCGAGGAGTCTGAGGAGCGAGCAGATCTGGCTGAACAAGCGTTCGCCAAACTGAGGGCTCGTGGACGCGGTGGATCCGCCGCTCGTGTTACTCCGCCACCGGTAAGCCCCTTTCAAACATTCATTTTCCAACCAGATACAGAACCAATCGAACTCATTCTTTCTATAAAATTGCAAAAATTGCATTAAAAGCTGGAAAAGCTTGTACACTGCATGTTCAAATTTGAATCATGTAATTGATCATAAAAGTAATTTTCACGTTTCCTCCGGGCAAACTATATAAACTGTAAAGCGCTTCTTGTACTGTAAAGATGACTCTTCGTACCAAAATAAATACGCGTGATGCCTTCAAATAAAAAAAGATTTAGTTGGCTAAAAAAATGAACTCTCTTTCTCAATGAATACATTTTTTTATTGAAGAGCACGTTTTTGTCTTTGGTTTCATTTCAGCCCAAGGGCTCGAAAAAGAGGATGGAGGAATAAAACTGAAGCAGTCCGCCGACATTTTTTGGTTGTGAGTATATACAGTGCATCAGAACCAGGGCAGGTTCTCAATTTCCTCCCTTTTTCCCGTTTCATGTTTTATTCCTGAACAAAACATAAACCCCTAACACGAATGTTCTTGTGTTCCCCAGAGATTTAAATTCTATTAGGTGTATCCCGGATGCAATTCAAAAAAATCTGGAGCCGAATTGTTTTTTGCAAGCTGCTGATGGCTGGGGAAACATCGCCGTTGATGGACTCCATTCTGGTTACCATATGATGTCAGCTGACAAAACACATATCAGCTGATGATCATCAGCTGCTTCGTCAGGTTGAATATCGTCAAGGCATTTTATGTTTTAACTGACATAACCCAAACTCTGGAAATGTTCTCTTTGTTTTTTTTTTCTTTCCTCATGTGTTGGGAAATTTGTTTTTCGTTCACTATTGTGTCTCGCCTTTCTCTCACTCTCTTGAGTCTCGGGGCAAATCTAACTCATGTGCCCATAACACCTTCGTCTCATGTTATACCTTCGTTTTGATTTTTTTTTCTCGCACAAAAACTCGGCTTCCAATGCTGGAATGTCTTGACAAAACGCATGCCCTTTTTATTTTCTCGTCTGTATCTCTTCGGAACGAGTCGCGAGAATGTCTACGGGGAAAAAAAGCACTGTTCGATTTCTCGTTACCTGGTGTCCATATAATAGATTGTGTCACTTCAATGTTCATTTCCTGATGTTGCATTTGATTCATTCACGGATTTTCCGCTGCGGAAATTTCATATTTCACGAATTGTGTGGATGATTCACGCTTCACTCATCAATAAATGACGCGTTTTGCCGCGTTCCTGCCTCGTCGAAAAGAACGCGGAGGAACAAAGCTTTTTATGTTCTGTGCCACTGACACATTATCTCATGACACATAAAATTGCCACGAAAAGGATTGCATTAATGTTTGTACAATATGCACTACTGTTTTTTTTTTCTGTTGATTTTGCGCATCGGATTCACTCATGGAAGACTGCTGGGAACTGTGTTGTCCGAAACATTCGCAATAATGCGAAAACTCATACGTTTAAGGTACTGCTAATACTCTAATATTTAACACTTGACTTTCCAGCATTTGAACAAAACTTATTTGCGTTATCTTGAGAGTTATTTTAACGCTTTTCTGATGCAATAGAAGAGGTTGCGTAAGTTTGTTAGAAAATGGCTGCTCGATGATCAGGGTTCAAAGCATGTTAAGCTGTCTTAATTCAAGTTTCGGTTGATCATTGCTAATTTTTATTTTTGCCAAATGGATTATAATGTCGAGTTTTTCGTCAAAGAGTTCTCAATTTAAAGCTAAATTCTCCGAGCAACATCCGGAAAACTCGACTTCCGGGCATTTTAAATGTTCAAAAAGTTTGGCGACCCAGAGAAACAGCTGTAGGATATCTGAGAAAAAAGCTGCAACATTTTTGAGATTTAATTTCTTCTCTACTAAAAGAACTATAATGTTAAAAGTAATTACCGTTACAATTAATGTACTGTATATGCACTTTTACACCTTAGTGGATTAGTGTGGCTTTCTTTTCAGAAGTTTTCCTCAAATTCCTTTATCGACCAATTTAAAATTGTCCAGTATTCAGCGGTTTTCTTCCGTTCATTATGTTTTTCCACACTGTTTTATAGAAACTTATAGAAACTCCAATTTTTGCCAACACTTGGAAAATTAATTTAAAATTTTAAGTAAAAGTCAATTTGAGACATTTTTAGTATTCAAACGTTCTGACTGGCGGACATAATGTGTGAACCAATTGTGTCTAAACGTTGGGACCACAGTGTACACAATCATTTTTCGGTATGTATGCTGAACGTAGCAAATATCTTCCAAAATGCCGCGATTTCGTTCACGCAATTTTTCGAAATATCTAAAAATCGGTCTTTTGCAATGCCCAAAAAATTCCTGATGATGCACAGACAGTCACAATGTTCAATGAACGCCTTTATCGTCACTGTATTGCGTAAGTTGAGTGTTTACATCAAAAACTGTGAGGAAAATTATCTTTTCTTGGGTGAATCCATCACTGATTGCTGACATGAAAGCCGTGAATGATAGACAACCCTCCAAAGTTCAGTAATGTGGTGCAATTATCGTGAAGTATTTAGTTTCAATGGACGGTTCGCTGCCGATGAGAAGGTGTCGGGGTTCAATACTTTCTTTATTTGTGCAGTGACATCTATCAAACGCTTAAAACAGCATCTAGTTTTGTGAGCTTTCGTTGTTGGTAGAGCTCACCTTCCAATTTGTATAAAATGCGTGGCAAACGTAATTACAGTACTTAACTGCACTCGAATGCCGATCTGCTGAATGACACTAAAAAAAATGAAGCTTCATTTAAATCGTTCTTTTATTTTCTCACAAGGGAGCTTTTTACCGAAAGATTTGATACCAAGCTTGACTTCGTACATCGTCACAAGGCTCAAACGACATCTTTTGAAGATATTTCAGAATTGGTAATGGAATGATCCGGCTCCAGAACGGTACATTATTCAGAGCGAATTATTACCAAAAAGCTATTTTTTAACATACAGCATATCGATGACAATTTCATAACAATTATGATGTTATTTCTAGCTAAAACTTCAGAATTTATAAAACTGAGATCGGAATACAGTACTGTAATGGCATTCAGTTTATTAAATTAGGCTTATTTTCGGATATTTTGATTTCGTGGACAAACGTCACTTACGTCTGGGTCAATCTCGCTTATGTGAAAAAATTTAAAAATCTAAAATATTCGACCTTCATTTACCAGGCTGTATCTCAGTATAGATTTGAATTGTAATGCATCACATTCCAAAGACCTACTCAGATATTCAAAAAATGACAGGGAATGTTCTGGAAAACAAGTCAGACAAACCGGAAACAATATCCTCTGAACAATGAAGATGTTGTTTGGTTGGCTTTTCAGAAGTTATTTAAAATCTTGCGTAATAGGACAAGCGCAAGTTTAAAAAAATCAAGAGGCAAGTCACTGTATTATGTCATTTCTCCGGATGTTAATTCGTAGGCTCGTGAGTGCAATTTTGATGACAAAATTAGACATACTTCCTAAGAAACTGTCATGAGCCTAAATTTGGCTAATGTTATACGAGTAACTTGAACAACTGTCGTAGCTGATTTAAGATTCGTCCACAGTTTTGATATTTTTGTCATTCAACGCCGAAAGTGTGCAGATTCATGAGCTGAAATCCACAATATAATGCAAAAACATTTTTATCTTCAAATAGTTGTGTAATTAAGCTAGAACTCCGAATAAGAGCTGTGTTTGCCACAAGAATCTTGAATCATGAATAATTTAATACTAAAAAGTAAAAATTGTTATTCAACAGGTGATATAATCGAAATCCCCTCAAAAAGTGGATGGCATTTTCCCGGATAATTAAACGGGAAATCAAGTGGCTCTATGAAAATTTAAATGCCTACTTCATTAAAATGCTTCTTCGTTTGCTCTTCATAGAAAATAACTGTATATTCGGGCAGTTGATCCGATCTCGGATAAATTCAACTTTCAATTGATTTCAAGATGTCTGTGTTCCTGATGAGGTGACTTCGAATTATGCATTATGTACCGATCAAGTGTTCAACAAATTTTCAAACCAACAGCATTAACAGGAATTTTCTTTTCTTATTCCGTCAGGGTGCAATTTAATTCCTTCCGGTTCCGTATTAATCCGAGAAGCTCTAATTCGGGCATCGACAGTTGAAAAGCTGTCCACTTGAGAAAAAAAGTGCGAGTGATTGCGCTGGTGTGAGAACAAAAAGAACGGAATAGGACCCTGTGTACCCGGGTTATTCGCAGTCGGTCGGGAAATCGCTTGAAAAAATGCCAGGTCACGTGGTGAAATCCGATGGACCCGATCCGGATCCAACTGAGTACCTCTTCGTGTCGGCCGAGCAGAAACGCAAGGACCAGACGAAACCCTACGATGGCAAGACGGCTTGCTGGGTGCCAGATGAGAAGGAGAAGTATTTGCTCGGGGAAATCAAGAGCACCAAGGGAGACATGTGCACTGTCTCAACCGGCGCTGGCCAGGTTAATTATCAGCTAATTACTCGTGCTTTTGTGCTGATATATTAGCCCTGGGAGAGAGCTTCTTTATCGGCGCTACTGAGATCATTTTGACAGCGATTATTCAGACAGCAATGTAATTTTTGACATTAAAGTTAAATTCCTGGCTCGAAATTCCGATTCAGAATTAACAGCCATATTGATTTATGTTTTTAGTTGATTAGGCCTGGGGTTAATTGGGGCTAAGACTATTCTTGAAGCGATTTTTCAGTCAGCGATGTAATATTCGATTGACTAAACACAAGTTTAATTCCAGGCTCGAACAAAATTTCAAACCAAATCTTTTACGGTGGTCAGAAAATTGTATCATAATTTTTTCCTAAAAGCAATGTAACATTTAAATTTAATTCCAATTCAATTTCTCAAAGAATAACCAGCGATATTCAAAGCAACGACGCCAGCTTTAAAAAAAGAACGAAAATCGCAACAAAAATTTGACGGAAGGAGAATAATTGCTTCGATAGTTTTAACGAAATATAAGAGATGAAGCCATTTTCATGAAGATGGAGAAAATTCGCATTTTTTAATTTCTGATTTATTTCTTTTACAGGAGAAAACCTTCAAGAAAGACCAATTGCAGCAAGTGAATCCTCCGAAATACGAAAAAGCTGAGGACATGTCGGGATTGACTTACTTGAACGATGCGTCTGTTCTGTACAATCTGAGAACTCGTTACGAACATAAGCTGATCTACGTGAGTATTTCAAACAAGGTCATCAGAAAGATAGCAAGTACAAATTTGATCATCATTTTATAATGGTTTTTTTTATTCTGTCTAATTGAAGTACACTGATTTTTTTATCGCATGCTATAGACTTACTCCGGACTTTTCTGTGTGGCCATCAATCCGTACAAACGTTATCCGATCTACACGAACCGTGTGGTTGCCATTTACCGTGGCAAAAGGCGAAATGAAGTCCCACCTCACATTTTCGCCATTTCTGATGGTGCTTACGTGGACATGGAAACCAGTGAGTTCTGGGAGAAAAATCGCAAATTATCATTACCTTTATTGACACGAGATCTTTTTCGCTTCTTTACCCCGCAGATCACGAGAATCAATCCATGTTGATTACGTGAGTTTCAATGAGAAATTCTCTTCCGATCGGTTAATTTGAAATTGATTCAAATGCTAAATTTATGTTCCCAGCGGAGAATCTGGAGCCGGAAAGACTGAGAACACGAAAAAGGTCATTGCGTACTTCGCTAACGTCGGTGCTTCGACGAAGAAGGCGCCGGAAGCCAACAAGGCAAGTAATGGTTCTATTGAACGATTTTATGTGACTTATCAATAATGTAATAATGCATGCAACCAAGGATTTATTATCCTGAATTTGACACCAATTTTCCAATTTTTTCTGCAGGGTAATTTGGAAGATCAAGTCGTGCAAACCAATCCGGTCCTTGAAGCTTTCGGAAACGCAAAGACTGTGCGTAATGACAACTCGTCACGATTTGTAAGTGATTCATCGAGAAACTCTTGGATATTTTCGTTTAAAAAAAATGCTTACACCATTCTCAAAATTTCATTTGACGTGGTTCCCAGGGTAAATTTATCCGTATCCACTTCGGGCCTTCCGGAAAACTGGCTGGAGCTGATATCGAAACCTGTGAGTGATATTTACAAGCACATTGTCTTGACTAGTTGTTATCTTATTCACGAATACTGTACATTGAAATCAACTTTCCTTTTTCATTCTAGATCTGCTCGAAAAGGCTCGAGTGATTTCCCAGCAGACCCTGGAAAGATCTTATCACATCTTTTATCAACTCATGTCGGGATATTTGCCAGAATTGAAAAGTGAGATTTTGTTAAATTTTAGAAATGAGCCCCATCACTAAACCTTTTTGCGTTTTTTCCAGAAAATCTCAAGCTCGTCGACGACATCTACTATTATCATTACATTTCGCAAGGAAAAACCACCATTCCGAATGTCGATGACGCAGAAGAAATGGGTTTTACCGACGTAAGAATACTCAAAAGCGTTTCTCGCGACTCACGTAATTTGACACAACTTGTCAAATCGAGGCTGATTTTTCGTTTATATTTTCAACAGGAAGCCTTCAACGTGCTGGGCTTTTCTCAGGAAGAAAAGGACAATATTTACCAGATTGTTGGTGCTGTCATGCACTTGGGAGAAATGAAGTTCAAACAACGTGGTCGAGAAGAACAGGCTGAGGCTGATGGCCTTGATGTACTGTATTCAATTCCGTTTTCTTTTCCATTAAAAATAATCAAAGTTTTAAATCAAAAGGATTTCAATCTTCTTATCATTCGAACCCTTTAATATTTGTTCTTATATGTTAAAAACAGTTTGTGCGACGAAAGATTGAGAGATAAATTAATTAATTATTCATAATTTTCCTGCCAAATTCTTCACATGATATGTCAGAATTTCGATGTACTGTATATTACAGTACCTTTATATGCTGTGATCGAAAAGAATCCAGAAGGATGGTCAAATGATGGGTACTTCTGATTCGTATGAAGTCTCAGGAGTTTTAGTACAATTTTTCAAAATTCTGGTAAGAGTTACTTGCATGACCATCACTGTTCTGTTTAAAATTAAAATTTAAGCGTGAATGAATTCGAAAAAAATGAACTCGAAAAATTGTAAATCCTGGTGGAAAACTGGTCTTCTTGGAGAAAAAGGAAGCATTGCCAAATTAATTTAAATTTTTCTTGGAAAATACTGAGCGATAAAAAAACCAAGAAATATATCAATAACTAAAATAATTTGAACAGTACAACATTTTTTTCCAGCAAACCGAGCTAATCCTAATTCGAAAGTAAATTCCAAAATATACGTAGTAATTATATGAGATGAAACAACACACGATACAATACATTTTTGAAATGTCTTGCATTTTGAAACATTCTTTCAGGACGGAAAGAATGCTGCAGCTTTGCTCGGCATCGAAGGGACCGAGTTGTACACAAACTTCTTGAAACCAAGAATCAAAGTCGGTAATGAATTCGTCACTCAAGGACGAAACAAGGACCAGGTGAGTTAAAAATGCATTTGGATTGCACACGGAAATTGGATTGACTTCAACTAAAAAAAAAATTGTTTAAATTAGTGCTTCTACTCGGTTGGAGCCATGGCAAAGGCAATGTTCGATCGCCTTTTCAAATTTTTGGTAGTCAAGTGCAACTTGACCCTCAACACCGGCCAAAAGCGTGAAAACTTCATTGGAGTATTGGATATCGCCGGGTTCGAAATTTTCGACGTGAGTTGAACTTATTCTTCAACTGTTCCAAATAATTTTCCGAGAGCAAAATCAATCTTAATAAGCTGCACTTAATATTAAAATATCGACTTAAAAAGCCAGCACCTCACATTTCGTGGCGTAAAATGTGCAGTTTTAGCTCAACGCAACCTTTTGAATGAAATTGTGTCCAGGATTTCATTCAAATACCCAAGATATGAAATCCTAATTTCTGATGGAAACTTTCGAGGTCTAGATGGCAACTCAACCATGAATGGAGTCGAGAGAAATTTTTGATTATAAAAATTGAAGCATGATCAACATGCTTGAAATAACTGCAGGCAAATTACTCATTTGTAAGATAAAAGTTAGAGTTATGTTGTCTATGCTAGTCAATTCATTGCACGTAAATATGATTTATACCTGATGATTATTTTGTCTTAAACTTTTGGAAAAATAGACAAGACAACTTCAAGTGCTTACGATTAGTTGAAAGGAAACTGGGTAGAAAGATATTTTGGTATAAGCAACTGAATAACTTGAAGCAGAATTATTTTAGAGTAAGAGCAGATTGAGAGATTTCAGTATTGTATTGAATCATAAAATATGACCACAATTGCGGATGCATTGACTATTTTAAGGTATTTCACTTCGCGAACACCATAAGTGAGTGATTTAATCTGCATTCTTTCATTTCTACAAAGTACAACGGATTCGAGCAGATTTGCATCAACTTCACAAATGAGAAACTGCAGCAATTTTTCAACCATCACATGTTTGTTCTTGAGCAAGAAGAATACAAGAAAGAAGGTATTCAATGGACCTTCATTGACTTTGGGATGGATTTGGAAATGTGCATCAACCTGATTGAGAAGGTAAAGATTTCATGGGATACTATTCTTCCGTTGAAAATATTTTGTGAGTCTTTTTTTTTTCAAATGTACCCTTGAATTTTGAATGCTTCCTTTGAGAAGAACCCAGAGCTCAAGAGCGGATTTCCTGTTGTGATTATTGTTTGTGAACCGATTCCGGCAGATTTTCTCATGATGGATATCACATAAGCAAGTATATGTTTCAGAAGCCTACCCTTAATTACTAGCACCGAATGATACGTTTATGAATTGCACACTACTGTGATTTACCGTACTCGATTTCAAACCAACTGCATGCTGTTTCAGTGTTCAAAAAGATCAACGATATGTGTTTCTTTGGCTTTCAGAGATTTCATTTTAAATTCGTAGACATGGATGTGTTCTACATTCAAGTGTCCTTTGAAATTAACTGCGAGGATTTTTGCATGAAAGATTAATTATTTACCACAACGCATGGGTGATTGATCTAGTTCACAAATTTAAAGCAATTGTTGATCCGTTTTTTTTCCGTTTTTGATACTGCTTTATCAGATTGGCATCGAGAATTCACGATATACTGCTCGTTAGATTTTAGTTTTTTTTTGGAAATTTAGCGCGCTGTTTCCTAAATAAATAGATAAACTTTTTTCTCTGAATGTGAAGCCTCTCGGCATCTTGTCCATCCTGGAGGAAGAGAGTATGTTCCCCAAGGCCACAGACAAGACCTTCGAGGAGAAGTTGAAGAACAACCACTTGGGCAAGTCTCCCAACTTCATCAAGCCGAAGCCGCCGAAGCCGGGTCAGGCTGAAGCTCACTTCGCCATCGTCCATTACGCAGGAACCGTGAGTGACGATATGATTATTGGCAAAATGCTGTCATTATTCAGCTTTCAAAGCAAAGTTTTCTATATGGGTTCCCTTGTTTGATCTTGAAAGAAAGAACAAACTGGGGAGAACAAAAAGGAGAGAGAGAAGTTGAGAACAAGAAAAGCCCGAGTCCAGTGACCGGGAGATAAAACGGGCCGTTTTCAAAACGTGTTCGCAGATGATGCGAAAATTGTCCCAGGATGAAATTTTCATATCGAATGATCTGTTACCATTGCACGAAAAAACGTTTCGTTGTTTTCATCAGAGATTCCCTCAACTTTATGCATCTGTAAATCCGCTTTTCTCATTCAATAATCAGCAAATGTACGATTGCTCCCCGCGAGAAGGATTCGAGTCCGGGTTTTGGCATCTCAAAATACAAATACTTTGCCCACGCAGGTGCCTTACAACTTGTCTGGCTGGTTGGAAAAGAACAAGGATCCCCTCAACGACACTGTTGTTGACCAGTTCAAGAAGGGCACCAACAAATTGCTTTGTGAGATTTTTGCTGATCATCCAGGTCAATCCGGAGGCGCCGCCGCCGCCGCCGCCGATGCTGGTGGAAAAGGTTGGCACGATTTACTCTCCTCAAAAGATGTTTTTTTTTTGTGCGTGTGTGAGTTCTCTAGTTTGGAACTCTAGCCCACACTTGCAATTGCCATTTTCACACCAAATTACAGTAATGTTGACTGCACCAGCGCCTTTTTTAGTTCTAAGTTGTTAAACTTTTGTATTGGGATCACCGTATTTTCACGTGTTTGCGCTGCCTGCGAGTTTTGTCAATTTTCTGTGTGGAGGGACATCAAGCAAAAAAATACCGAGTTTGCATACTAACAGTGGTTGGTTACAATTGAAATTGAATTTACAATAAACAGGAGAAAGTACATTTAAAAAATGTACAGTACCATATTTTGATATCAGCTTACATCAGCAAAATATAATGTCACCGTTGTTCGAAAACGACGATTTGCTTTTCTGACAGACAGACGTGACTGTGTTTTTTTAAATTAAAATACGTTGTACTTGAAACTGAAAAAAACCTGTAAGCAAAAATTATTCATTCTGGAAAGGCATTTTTTCACACAACGTGCTAAACGTTTTCTAGTCTTGATGCACATACTCAAGTGAATTTAATCGCATAAAACTTTCACGCTGCTCACGATATACATGAATTGTTTGATGATATAATTCTAATTTCTTCTTCAGGTGGACGTGGTAAGAAAGGTGGCAGCTTCGCAACTGTCACTTCATCTTACAAAGTAAGTCTTCTTCTTCAAGCCTTCATTTTTACGCTTCTATCTTTGGACAAATAAGAGGCTCAGAAAAAAAAATCCCAGGAAATTTACATCTTTGACATGCTATTGTCTGTCAAAGACCAGAACTTCCAGGGTTGATATTGTTTCGCGGAAGTGATACTAAAACTTGAATCGTGTTTTTATGAATAATTATCTCATATTTTTCATTGTCACTTTGTTTTTAGGAGCAATTGAATAAGCTGATGGCCACCTTGCAAAGCACTCATCCGCATTTCATCCGTTGCATTATTCCCAACGAATTCAAACAGAGCGGTTAGTACAGTGTTTTTCCTCCAGTAATGCCATTTTTTATTTTGTTTTCAAGTCCGCTGACTCTGGGTTTAAATTTGCAAAATTTACAGGTGTTGTTGATGCCCATCTTGTCATGCATCAGCTGACTTGTAACGGCGTGCTTGAAGGCATCCGTATTTGCCGCAAGGGATTCCCAAATCGAATGAGTTACCCAGACTTCAGACACAGGTAGCATTTCTTTGAAAAAATAAGCTTAAACGTCTTCAACATGCAATCAATTTTTTTCCAATTTCTCCCTCTTTGAATAGATACGTGATTCTTGCCCCGAAGATTATGACCAAGACTGCAGATGAAAAAGACGCAGCCGCCAAGTGTTTGGAGGAGATTCAGCTGGACCCCGAACAGTATCGAATTGGTCACACCAAGGTATCCAATTTTTGGAACATCCAACAACATTTTGAGCAATTTTCTGACCGGTTGATCACACTTTTCAACTTGTTATCAAAGGCAGATTCCGGGCTTGAACAATATCAGCGCGAAAAGCGCAATTCCGTCAATAATTCGTTTTTTTTTTCGAGTCTCAAGAAGCGGAAGAGCAAAATTTAATTTCAAATTCTTATTGGACTCCAAAGTTGGGGGATCAGAGCAATAAATTGTGTAAATAGATGGCCAGGATTTGCTTCTTTAACTTTCCCTGAATTCACATAATGCATGTTGAATCGCTTTGATTATTTGATTGGTATACATTACAAGCTTTATTTGCTGCTTTTCAATATTCACAGGGTTCACAAAATAATCCCGCATCCCCACATATCCAATTGACACATTTAGTCTATCAATAATAGTTCACTATAAAGTATAACTCTAAAAAATCTCAGTACACGTGAATATAATGAATGGCCGTATTTTTCAAGAATCCCAAAAAACACAGCACAAGGCAATTACTGAACAGGAATTAAAGCACAATTGAAGCATTCAGTCTGTTCCCAGATAATCTGTTGTTGCTTAAAATTTTATGAAGAGTTTTTGAGGAGAAATCATGTAAAGCTAATATTTCATCCTGATGGTGCTCTATTATTTGGGAGAGTACTTATTCATTAGTTACAACTAAAACTTCTTCATGCAAGTTCTAAGGCTCGATTCAATTGAATATACAGTACAATCAAATAAAATATTTCATCGAATTTACAGATGCATCCTACGTTTTAAAGGACCATCTATGAGTGAGCCTATTCAAGTAGGAAAAAATCACTGAAATACTTTTGGATCCATTATTTGTGAATACTGTATTGACCTATACATGCAACCAGTTCAGGGTGTTTTAAAGCATATATTTTCTTGAAACTTTACAGGTTTTCTTCCGAGCTGGAACCTTGGGTCTTCTTGAAGATCTCCGAGACGCGAAGGTCAACAGAATCATCACGTGGCTTCAAGCCTCCATCAGAGGCTACGTTGGGCGCATAGAATTCAAGAAACATCAACAAAGACGGTAGAGATTATTCTGTTTGAAATTTTAACCAATTTTTGGCACATTTCGACACCAATTTTGCACGATTTACTCTTGTCAAATCGCAGAGTTGCTCTGGAAGTCGTGCAGCGAAACTTGCGTAAATACATGAAAATGAGGACTTGGACTTGGTGGAGACTGTGGCAGCAAGTTAAACCGATGTTGAACGTGACTCGAGTTGAAGATGAGCTCAAGGTTATTCCCAAAAAAAAAAAAATTTGCAGTTTATGGTAAACACGTGAACTCTAATAACTGATACTATTTCAGGCTCTCGAAGAGAAAGTTGCAAAAGCGGTGGAAGCTCTTGAAAAGGAGCAGAAACTCAGAGCTGATTTCGAAGCCAAGAGTACGAAACTCGCGGACGAAAAGAGTGAGCTGCTGAAACAACTGGAAGAGACAAAAGGTTCAGGAGCTGAGGTCCAAACTAGAATGGCCAAAGTTGTTGCCATGAAAGCTGATTTGGAAAGCCAACTTTCGGTCAGTTCGAACACTATTGCTTCTTCTCAGTCGACGATCGCAGCAAATTATTTTTTTATTATTTTGGAGGAATGCACCGTAAATGCGTTTCAGAGAAAAAATATCAAGAGCTTGAAAAAGTAAATCGTGCAATGCGTAATTCTGAAGAAAAGCAAAATATCTTTCGTACATTTTTTCGTGCGCCAAGTTTGCAACACAAATAAAAAGTACAGTGTTGAAAGCACGAGAAGTATTTCATGAAATCTGCACAATTTCAAACATTTTCCGAGCAAATTCAAAAAATTTAAATTTCCGAATGCATAAATTGCTAAATTTCCTCGAAACACTTCGGTATTCATAATTCTTGATAATTTAACCAATTGGAATCCCTTTAAAAAATGCATTAAAAACTTCCCTAAATCAAGGGCTTTTACCCCTCAAACCTTCATAGCTCGAATTTTCTGGAGACCTTTTGGCAATTAATTTATTGGCACACGAAAGAGAAAAGCAATAAAAACTTAACTTCAAGCATTTTGCAAAAAATGAAAAAGGGAACGACTAAATTGAAAAATGAACCCTTACCTCCAAGTTTCCAAGTTCAGCATCCTGTCAACTCATTCAAGAAGTAATTTGATGCCTAGAATATAACCAATTGAAATTTTCTGAAATTCTTCTTCCTTTCCCACCAACACAAATGCTTGTTTCTCAAACTCAAAATCTCCCTAACTCAAATTTGTTGCTGGTTTTTCAAGTTTGACTTCAAGATGTTTAACTGCATCAACATCAGGATTTGGTACAGTATTTTTATGAACTTGACAATTTCTTCCCTCAGGATACACAAGACAGACTTCGTTCCGAAGAAGAAGCAAGAAATAATCTGATGCAAAGCAAAAAGAAAGTTGAAAATGAATGCTCTGCCTTGAAAAAGGAGATCGCCGACATGGAGCTCAGCATACAAAAGGCAACTTTTTCAATTCTCTTTTTTTTTGGAACAAAAAATAAAAAACTATTCTTCCATATTTGGAATAATCTCAGGCTGACCAAGACAAAGCTACAAAAGATCACCAGATTAGGAGCCTCAGCGACGAAATCGCTCAACAAGACGAACTAGTCAACAAAATCAACAAGGAAAAGAAATTGTTGCAGCAAGTTGGCCAAAAAACCGCCGAGGATCTCCAGGTAAATTTAAACTCAATTCCTTATCATGACACGACACTTAATTCGATGATTTCACGCATTTAGGCTCAAGAAGACAAATTGAATCACCTGAACAAGGTGAAATCTAAGCTCGAACAAACGCTCGACGAGCTCGAAGACGCTCTGGAAAGGGAACGGAAACAACGCGGTGATATCGAAAAGAATAAAAGGAAAGTCGATGGCGATCTCAAACTTTCTCTGGAAGCTGTTGCTGATCTGGAAAGGAACAGGAAAGAAATCGAGCAAACAATCCAGAGGAAAGACACGGAAATCTCGTCCCTCACTGTGAAAGTCGAAGAGGAACAGGCCGCAGTTTGCAAGCTAGTGAAGCAGATCAAAGAGCTGCAGGTGAGTTTTCATTTATTTATTTATTTCCATAAGTTAAAATTTTCAAGTCTTACTTCACGTAACCTTGTTCACGTCTAGTCAAATTTTAAAAATTATTTCCTACACGTGAGTTCTTATCCTAAACTTTCTTTCAATTTCTTTGTTGAAACGCCAAAATACTGCATTTATGCGTACAACATCAACCTTTTTTTAAATTAAGAGGTAAAAGAGAAGCTGTACATCATATAGGTGGATATGATTTTTAAAAATTTAAATGAGAGTCATACTCGATATCAATGTCCACTTTCAACACACAGTTCAAAAAATACAAGCGATGGGAAGTAAACATTCAAGACGGCAACAATTTTTCCAATTTTAAATCCTATTTTAATGATTGATTAAACCCAGGCCAGGATTGAAGAACTCGAAGAAGAAGTCGATTCAGAACGTCAAGCCCGAGCAAAGGCTGAGAAGCAACGGTCCACACTCGCGAGAGAACTGGAAGAGTTCGCAGATCGCCTCGAGGAAGCCGGAGGTTCCCTTCCTTCTTAAAATTTCCAATAAAATCATTATTTATTTATTTACGGAGAACAATTGTTTGATGTTTAAGGTGCAACAACTGCTCAGATCGAACTCAACAAGAAGCGTGAGGCTGAGCTTGTCAAGTTGCGTCGAGACTTGGAAGAAAGCAACATTCAGCACGAGTCGACTCTCGCCTGTCTGCGCAAAAAGCATAATGATGCCATCGCGGAAATGGGCGACCAAATCGATAACCTCAACAAACTCAAAACTAAGTGAGTTAATGTCTATTCTTTAAAATATATATATATATATAGATCTGAGATTCTTCCCCCATCATCGCAGCTCTGATTCACGAAACCTCTCTGTCATCGTCCATTGATATTAAGACGCCCTTCATCAATCTCAGGAATTGCGCAAAAAACGGAATTCCAATCATTTGAAACATTAGAGCCATTGGCAAATTCTTTAAAAACAAAATTGCGACAAGTAAATATTAACTCCTCAGAGTGATGAGGTGAACTTTCAACAGTTTATTGCCAAAATTTAAACCCGGGTGAAAAATTATTTTCTCATAGAGTTTTGATAATACAATAGAACCTTTTCAGGGATCAGCAACTGATTTGAGTTACGGAAAGAAGCATTTTTTGTTGACGATAATAAAAAAAATTATCGAAAATTGTAATTGGGGATATTCTGAGACCTGAATTGCTTCTTAAATGAGTTGACAGGATGCTGAATTTGAAGGCAAAGGTTCATTTGTCCAATGAGTCTTTCACTTCCTTTCAAAATAAATCAACTCACAGTTTTCCTGCTTTTCTCTTCCCTGTGTCAATAAAATAAAATTCCTAAAGAAAATAGGGGGTTTGGAAGTTTGAGGGAGATGATTTTTGGGTTTTTATTGCACTTTTTCTGCAAAAGAATCCAGACAGGGATTTGAAAAAGAATTCAAGATATAGGGGGTTCAAGTATAAGATCTTACCGAGTAAAGCATTGTGTCCATCTCCAAAAATGTCTTCAAGGAATCGCAAGTCTGATGAAACATTTTATCCTTTTTTTTCAAGAGCTGAGAAGGACAGGGTATCCGCAGCAAACGAGCTCAACGACGTTCGCTCTGCTTTGGACTCTGTCGCCTCAGAAAAGGTACATCCAGTCCTCCATTACTTTGTCACCCGAATAAATCATTTTCATAATTATTGAAATACACCAGGCATCTCAAGAGAAAGCCAACAAGCAGCTATCGCAACAAATCAACGAATTGCAGCTTCGCGTGGATGAGTCCAACAGGATCATCAACGATTTGGACGGTGCCAAGAAGAAGCTTTCGTTCGAAACCTGTGACCTCTTGAGGCAATTGGAAGAAGCAGAATCTCAAGTCAGCCAACTGAACAAAATCAAGATTTCTTTGAGCACTCAACTCGACGACACGAAACGAATGGCTGACGAAGAAGCTAGGGTAAGACTTTCTTTTGTCCCCAATTTAAAAAAATATTCCAAGAAAGAAACTTTCCCGGAGAAACGCTGAATTATTATTCCAGTTGAGAAAAATTCCGCGAGAAAATCTGAACCGCGAGAAATCCTGTTAAGCACAAAAAATAACGCGGCATGGAGAAAGCTTTTGCATGAAATTCTGAAAAGAGGATTTAAAAAACCCCCCGAGATTGTCAAGTCAAAGATAAACACGGAACAAATCACGAAGAACGAAATAGTCCGTCAGAAAATTGTTTCTAAACTTCTTTCGAGGCAAGGAAATGAAAACAGTTCTTTTTCCTCATCCGAAACTGTTTCTCTCTGACATTTTCTCCCCACCAAAGTTTTCCCAATTTCTTCACAACGTCTTACCTCTATTCTGAAACCCTCATTTTCAATCGACACTCAAAACGAAAAAAAACACATTCACTCACTGTACTATTCACTTTTTGTTCACAGGAACGAGTAACTTTGCTTGGCAAGTTCAGGAATGTGGAACACGATTTGGACACGATGCGGGAACTCATTGAGGAAGAAGCTGAAGGAAAAGCCGAGTTCCAGAGACAACTCAGCAAGGCAACTGTCGAGGCTCAAATGTGGCGAGCCAAGTACGAAAGCGACGGCCTTGCTAGAGCTGAAGAACTCGAAGAATCCAAGTAAACCTATTCCTCGATTTCTAACACAAAAATTGTCCTCTTATAACAAAATGTAACGTCATTCAGACGCAAATTGCAAGCCCGTCTCGGAGACGCAGAGGAGACCATTGAACAGCTCAACGCCCGCTGCTTCTCCTTGGAAAAGCTCAAACAAAAACTGTCCACGGAAATCGAAGACATGCAAATCCAAGTTGAACAAGCCCAAGTGTTGTCTAATTCTATGGAAAAGAAACAGAGGAATTTCGACAAGATCATCGGCGAATGGAAGGTTAAAGTGGAGGACCTAACCGCTGAGTTGGACGCGTCTCAAAAGGAATGCAGGAACTACTCCACTGAACTTTTCCGCCTCAGGGCATCTTATGAAGAGAACCAGGAAGTCGTTGAGGCTGTGAAACGAGAAAACAAGAATCTTGGAGGTAAGGAACCGTATCGTAATCTCTTTCTTAACGTCGGTGATAGAAATTTAAGTACATGGAAAATTTCAAAAATTTTACCAACACATACTGTATTCAAGACTTGATCTTAGGACAAAACCTCGTCATTCAAAAGGGGACAAAGAACCTTGTAAGATTGACATTCAACTGCACAATATTTGACAATATCTTGTGCACTGCTTGTATATTGGTTCGAAGGATAATTTAGGGAAGCATATCATCAGATTACATTGACTGCTCGCTCTAATATATACTGATGAAATTCAACAACAAAAAAGTTGAACATTGCAACGACAAAAACAATGCATTAAAGATTGCGTTTCAAAAGTGTGGAACGCGTATGGATCGACAGTACCATGAACAGGAATCAAAGTTCTGCTTTTTAGACAATAATTTATAGCAAGAATTGCTTACCAGCAGTTGTCCGAGTGTACATAAATCATGAAAATGAATGAGAAGTAAATAAAAAATCTTGGTGGCTACAATAATTGTTATTTTATAAATTTAATCAGATGAAATCAAGGACCTGATGGATCAGATGACCGACAGTGGAAGGAATGTGCATGAAATTGAGAAGGCCCGCAAGCGACTTGAGGTTGAGAAGGAAGAACTTCAAGCTGCTCTCGAAGAAGCAGAAGCAGCACTGGAACAAGAAGAAAACAAGGTGCTCCGAGCTCAACTCGAATTGTCTCAAGTCCGACAGGAAATCGACCGTCGCATTCAGGAGAAGGAAGAAGAGTTCGAAAACACCCGCAAGAATCATCAACGAGCTCTTGACTCGATGCAAGCTAGCCTTGAAGCTGAAGCCAAGGGCAAGGCTGAAGCGCTTCGCATGAAGAAGAAGCTTGAACAGGACATCAACGAGCTTGAGATTGCAGTTGACCATTCAAACAAGGCCAATTCCGAGGCTCAGAAGAACATCAAGAAATACCAAGCCCAACTCAAGGAAATGCAGGGAGTACTAGAGGAAGAACAACGAGCACGTGAGGACATTCGAGATCAATTTGGCATTGCTGACCGACGAGCAAATGCTCTTCACGGCGAACTGGAAGAGTCTCGCACTCTCCTCGAGCAAGCCGACCGAGGCCGAAGACAAGCAGAAACTGAACTTGCTGACTGCCACGAACATCTCAATGAACTCACTGCTCAGCACGGATCCATCTCAATGGCCAAGAGGAAGCTGGAAGGCGAACTCCAAGCCCTGCACTCAGACTTGGACGAAATGCTCAACGAAGCCAAGAACAGCGAAGAGAAGGCCAAGAAAGCCATGGTTGATGCTGCTCGTCTTGCTGACGAACTGCGTGCAGAACAGGAACATGCCTCACAGCAAGAAAAAATGCGCAAAACACTCGAACAGTCAACCAAAGAACTGCAAGTGCGTCTTGAAGAAGCAGAAGTTGCTGCACAAAGGGGAGGTCGCAAACAGATTGCCAAGCTCGAGGAACGCGTCCGAAGTCTCGAATCAGAATACGATGGTGAGCAACGCCGCCATTCCGAAGCACAGAAGAACCTGCGCAAGTCCGAGCGTCGCATCAAGGAGCTCGCTTTCCAGTCTGAAGAAGACCGCAAGAACCACGAACGCATGCAAGACCTCGTTGACAAACTGCAGCAGAAGAACAAGACCTACAAGCGCCAGATCGAGGAAGCAGAGGAAATCGCTGCTCTCAACTTGGCCAAGTTCCGCAAGGCACAACAGGAACTGGAGGATGCCGAAGAGCGAGCAGATCTGGCTGAACAAGCTTTTGCCAAACTCAGGGCCCGTGGACGCGGTGGATCCGTTGCTCCTGTCTCACCCCCTCCGGTACGGGGGCACTCGATATATTTATTGATCCTTCATTCCTTTCTCTTAATTAACTTTTCTCGAGCAGAAAAATTCCGATATTTGTGTCTTTATTTTCTATTCCATGCAACTGTTCTCTAACGTGAAGTGATTGAAATCGTTTTTCTTCCAGATCAAGAACAAGAAGCGACCGGAAGAATAATCCGAACGAACGTGACGATGGACAGGCTGCACTTTGGAGTAAGTGAGTCGAATGAAGAAATAAACTTACTTACATTACTCAAGTGCTATACCTACTTCATAAAAAAGCCATTTTTAAACCTTTCCAGCTCTTCTATAACATCAGAGTTTAATATAGGAGTATCATTCACGCTATATTGAGGAAGGTACAGAAAATATGCATAAAATTGTTATACGAGTTCAGAAATTGTTTCACGGTTTTGATAGTGTAAGAGGGTCTGCTCAAAAAAGTTTATATCTTATTTTGCTTCACCGGTCGAATTCTTGTTTTATTGTGAATATAGATGTTCTCAATTAAAGATCATATCCTTATCACTATTGCAGCATTTGCTCGACGATGCTGATTTAGAGGAAAACGAGAATAGGAAATTCCCACTTCCCGTCTCATTATTGTACTGTTGCTTTTTGAAATATTTAGTGCAGATTTGTGAAAATTATGAATTTTTAAGGGGTGTATATGAATGTACAGTGTGCTGAAAATATTTTAAAATTAAGAAATACCCTAACGGGAATATTTCTGGCTTTTTTAATTTATTATATTATACAGTACAAGTGATCGGTGAAGCGATCCGTGAAATTTTAATCATTAAGCTGGAAGTTTCACAGGTCGGGACTTCAATTATTGTAGCTGGTCCTCATCATATTAACTAAGTTTGCTTTATTATCTTACAGCATGTTCATGAACATATTTACTTCAAAGAAAATTGATTGATCGAAAAAATAATAATTTAAAATCGCTTAGATACTTTGTCAAGTATCCGTTTAAAACGCTGGTGTTCTCTTTTTTTTCCATGACGAGTGGTGGAATTATCGTGCCTCTGTAGTTTCAATCTTCATCGTAGCTTGGAAAAAATTGGCTTTGGTTGTCACATTGAATAGTTTTAGGGTTGGAAAACATGCCTGGCATTTTTCACTGAAAAATGTGCATATCAAAATTTGAATATTCCAGTATAACGATCACTTGCGATGACGGAAGCATGCGGACTCAGTTCTTCAGAGGGGGAAAAAAAAAGATAAATCTCACTGCCTGACTGTCCGAAGAGCTACTTTCTGACGCGGTACAAATTTCGACTCATAAAAATCCGATTGCAAAAATCCTAGTCTAATCAACCGCATATTTTTGTTTCTCGCGCGTTTCCTCGAAAATTATTAACCATTGTGCATTTTTGCATCATCTCTTGGAACTTTTCCTGTCATGGAAAATATGTCATCCTTCTTCGCGTCGGTATTAGTTCCTTTTTTTCTTTCGAAAGTGTATGACTTGTTTTGATTGATTTATCTTTTTCGGCTGTTCATATAGACGAAGCTCGTGGTTCGAATGCTGTATAGAGACTGTAGATACCCTTCGAAGGGTGCAGTTTGTTTTTGTGCTTTGTCCGTCAAGTGCATGTATTGATTATTAATCGGAACAAAGGTTAAATAAACATGATATGCAGACAGTACCGGACTGAGAGTACTCACTTTGCTTTTGCCGTTTATATCAAGAAACAGTGATGTTGACGTTTTGTTTTCAGATGAAGCATGCCATCGCTGAAATGGAGCTTTGACTAACATGATCGTCATCAACACGAGTAGTCTAGTAAACCAATGTAGAAACATTGCTTATGCTCATCATCAGAATTTTCGCCCATAAATAATGCGATGACCTGTACAGTCTCTTTAGCCAGAAATGTATTTATGAGTCTGAATAATCTGAAACTTGACATGCTGAAATCCCTTTTCGGACGATAATTTTTAACCAGGCCAAGAGCAATAATCATGTTGATTTCAATTTTTTTTAAATGAGCTAGCATGCTTGAGCCCATATTTCAGATATATTTCATGACAGCGTAAAAATCGAATATGAATGACTATTTTGGATTAATTTATTTTTCTGAAAACGCAATCCCCAAAAAATATAATCATAATAAAATTGTTTGGCTCTCGCTTTCGTAAATATATCAACTTTTGAAACGCGATGGAAAGTTTAGAATGACATTTCTTTTCGCAGATGATTTATAAATTGAAATTTTTACGGATAGACGAAGATTGGGAGATTAATCTCCAAATTGTATACTTCTACGAAAAAAAATAGTGTCACAATCTTTATGTCTCCTGATTTCATATTTTAAAAGGTTTTGAATATACCTTAATCTTAGACAAGTGGTATGCCAAAATGAAATACTACAGTGCAGTTCCATCGAAAATTGAAGTATCCTGGCCACACAAGAGAAATCCCATTTCAAAAAATCAAATTGTTCAAGCTTTTTATGGAACAGCTGTTTCGATATTTAAAAGAATATATTCCTTTGTAAAAGAGCCTCATCGGTGCTGGTTTGACTTGCCAATTCGCGTAAAACTCGATTTTTTTCATGGAAACACGGAAATGCCAAAACGCAAGAGGTTTGATGACGCCGATTCACTCAACAGCCGAAAAACGCAGTTCAGCATCGCAGAGTCTAGATTAAAAATAAATTAAAATATTACTCTCAAAAAGCTGTTTTTCTACTTTTCTGGAAAATGTTTCTGACTTCTTCTTTTGTTGTTCCACGAATCAGTTCATGATTTATTTGTAAGCATTTGAATATCCTTGAAAAATTTTTAAATTCAAACATGCGCACCTATTCCACATTCAAGTCCAATCGAAAAATAAACGACTTGTTTCAGAGTTTTTATTTGTCCTCGACTTCCAACAAGCAGAATAATTTTTCATCAACGAAATTGGCGTGATTTTTAATTGGCAATTGTTCAAACTTTTCTGACCTTTCCTCCAAGTTTTTCTTCCCTCTTCAGACATGACATGAGAAAATGCAGCGTTGAAAGCATATTTTATGAATTCACGGAAATGGAGTTTATCTGCGACGATGGAATGTTACATAGAGTCGCAAGCCATTCAAGTGCCACCAAATGCTCTAAAAACTTTAAAAATAACCAATTTTATGATAGAAATTTCTGATCTTGGACCATATTCGTTAGTGCTGCCACTTAGAACCGTATAAATTCTTGGCAAGTTAACGGCTCAGTTTTGCTCAAAATATGTTTCAAAAATTCGTCTACAGTGTTTTTCTGGATTCTGTTTCAAGAAACATCCAAAGAACTGACTTTCCAGGAATTTTAAAAAGTTTTAAATCCTTATTCGTGTTGGATATTGGAGGAATAGTTTCACGCGAGCAGAAGACTTCCCTGAAGTAAACCAGAGCTTCCGCATTTCTCAAGTTACCCGGAGAAGAAACAAAAAAAAATCAGTAGGTTTGTTTTCACAAGATCGCGGTTCCTTTTTTCAACAGTGGGAGGGGGGAAAATGCGAGCAGCACCAGTGAGTGAAAATTCTATTTTCGGCCTGGTCCGGAAGGAACCGAAAAGATGGAACGGTTCCAAGACGCTGACTTCGTATGACCTCGCTCGCTGTAGCAGACGTTCACTATCGACTTCGGGCCTCAGTCCGAATTTCCTTCCTTCTTCAGTTGCATTCCAAAATGCCAAAGAATGAAAAAAAAAACCCTCTCTAGTGATGCATTTGATAAAGAAACGGAAAAAATATTTCCAAACCCGACTTATGACCCTGTTTCGCGGAATGCTTCCCACCCAGATTGTGACCCCACTTGTGAAGTTTTCAGAATGGTGGGTTTTATTTTCCCCTGAGTGTTGCCAATTAGAAGGTAAGGCATTATACCTGTTACAGTGACACATTTTGTATGAAATTCCATTACTGTATTTCATCATGTCAATTTTAGTCGCCGACATTTTTTTTACATTTTAAGGG